GGCCAGCTCCCATCCACTGGTCTGTGTTCTTAGGTATTTACTTCTATGCCTCTGCTTGGTCTTTTCAACTGGATTGTAAGCACTTCCCAGGGTAACCTCATGACATAAAAAATGTCTATATGTAGTCCAGTGGGTATACAGGAGGTATCCATGAATGCATGTCGAATAAAGGGGTGTTACCTCCACAACCCAAAGATGGTCTCAGGTAATGAGGTCATTTCCTTTGCGGGGACCATTTTTGCAGAACAATCTGAAGGGCCTGACCCTGTTGGGGAGGGAGGGGCCCCAGCGAGCCCCGAATGACAGCATCCGCTCTCCTGAGCTGCCTGGGGAAATCAGCTCAAACTCTCAGAGAAGCCTGCAGCGGCTGCTGTGGGACTTTGGAGCCCAATAGAGATTATTGTAGAAACAGAGAGGTGGGGTGAAACAAATGAGAGCAATAGCGGAGCTTCAACCTTTTCGGAATTTGTTTTATTTCCCTCTGAAAGGGCCTTGAGGTTTCTCTGCGGGGAAGAAGGGGCGGGGATGAAGCAGGGGTTCAGATCTGGCCCGGACTTTTTCACGTGGCTCTGAAGATGGAACTAAATTCTTAGCATTGAGTGTATGGGAGGAGGGGTGGGCGGGGAAGATGTTTGCTTATAGCCTAGCTTAAGCTAAGAATACGATGTTTTAAGAAGCTATTTAAAAGAGATGGGAAAGAAGGAACAGCGCGTACAGATCTGCTAATGAGGTGGTGATGCCTCCTGGAGAGCAAGCAAGCGTCATTCCACGGGGGGCCCACCAGGGGGAGTGACAGCCGCCCAGCTGAAGGCCACAAGTGGAAAGAGGGCTTTTGATTGGCTCCCTACCTGGAAACGCAGAGTCTGTCTGCAGCCCGGTTCTTTGGAAGGAGAAAGAGCCAGAGAAAGAGACCCACACACACTGACCCTGTTGATCCATCTGGTTCCTTTCAACACCCACCCTGTGTTCCCACGTGTTTCCAGACTTCTCAGCTACAGTATGTCTACGCAGCAGGAAGCCTTTGGCCCAAGCCCAGATGCCAACCGCTCTGATAAGCGGAAGCTGCTAGATTTGAGGCTAAGAAACTACAGAATCATATCTGGCTAAAGATAGCCCTCTTGTAATATTTCATCCTCCTCAGAGTAGTCTCTGCCAATGAGGGCCCATTTGTCTCCACCTTGCAGACTGTCCTCAAAGTCCTGGGTGAGGCCTCCCCTGGCCGGTGCCGCGGTCCCTCTGGGCTGCCACAAGCCAAAAAGAGCAAATCAACAAATGAGCCCAAAGATGCCAGCACGAGCCACCACATCTACACTCGGCTGTTTCAAAGGTGTTTTTTTTCTTAATTATATAGCCAGGTTGCAAATGTACACACGATACTAAAATGTGCAAAGAAATTATAGATTCTTTATTTCTTATAAAACTGTATGCCCAGCTCAGTGGTTGAGAATCAACTTATGAACCAGGAGGTCACAGTTTGATTCTGGTCAGGGCACATGCCCACGTTCGGGCTCAGTCCCCAGTGTGGGCATACAAGAGGCAGCCAGTAAATGATTCTCTCTCATCATTGATGTTTCTGTCTCTCTCTCCCTCTTTCTTCCTCTTTGAGATCAATAAAAAGATACTTTAAAGAAAAAAATCTTACCCCGCCAGGCAGCAGAAAGGAAATAGGAAACTTCACATTTGAACTTGTCCATTATAACATCTCAGATTTAATAAAAGAGTCCCATTTAGCCCTTTATAAAGTGTCTCTCAGGAAAGCACGGCCTTGGATGGCCTTGCCTCCTCCTGTTCTAGTTCAAGGTGGCATTTCCGCTAGAAGGCACTCGATCTAGTTTTAGTATGGGAGAGGGAGGCATCAGGCTTGCCAGGGATCTCGAATCCCAGTTGTCTGGAATCTTATCAGAAACTGACGAGTGGCCTCTGAGGTGTGACTGGTCTCATCTGGCCCATAGAATGTCATGCTGACACCCTCCCTTGAAGGCCCTGATTATAGTCAGTCTTTTCATCCAGATCCCACGTGACATCCCCTCTAGCAGCAATATATCCCCTCACCAGGGCCATGGGCAGAGGGGAGCTGATAAATGTGTTTGCTTGCTTGCTTCTTTGTGTTTTGATAAATGCTTAACAACTAATCCTTGTAGGGTGGAGGGAGGAGTGGGGAAATACCTGCTTGTAGCACTTGCCTGTTTCCATGGTATAAATACTCCCAGGATGGCTAACAACATGAGGCTACTAAGCATGTGGCTGAGAACAGACATGCACAGTCAGTGCCATGAGGTGGTACAAGCTGGCCCTGGGCTACTTCTGCAGATCTTGCAACTCTGTCTTGCTCAGCTTCTCCCTCTAAGTCTGCCCCATAGGTACATTCTGACTTCTCAGATGGGGCTGCAGCCAGAGTAGCCCCTAGGCTTAGGGTCTCCCACCAGTGGGGCCCTGGGAAGCCCACCCATCTGTTCCTGGATGGATGCTAGCAAAGGTGTGTGCTTCTGACAAATACACCCCCTGTCTCCCCATTTCCTTCCCAGGATCCACTCAGGCCCAAAGTAGCAGTCTCTCCATGCCTTATCTTCTCTAGTAAGGACCTCACTTAAGTCACATTCTCCTTATTCCCAGGGTCTAAGCCTCACAGTTATGTCTAATGTCACAAGAGGTTTCCTTCTATGCTATAGAACCTATTTTATGACATAAGTCCTCCAGATGGGGATGACCAGGAATGAAAAACCATCAACTTAATATCGCCCAACTAATATCTCTGTTACAACTGTTTAATACAGATAAGACAATATATTAAGTCTCTATGTACACCATTTGATTTATTGTTCACCATAACCAGAAGAGGTGTTGTCCCCATTTTACAGAAGAGTTAATGGACTCAACAAGGTCATTATCCTGATTAAGGCAATTTAACCAATAACTAGTGGAGATAGGATTTAAACTCAGGTTGACCTCCTAGCCTATGCTCTTTATCTAATACTAAATTGTGTAGGCACAAACTTTATCTTTCTTCTATCATTATTAGAAGACCCTATAGATTTAAAAATATATATATTTTTATTGATTTTGTACAGAGAGGAAGGGAAAGAGATAGAGAGCCAGAAACATTGATGGGAGAAAGTCATCGATCAGCTGCCTCTTGCACACCCCCCACTAGGGATATGCCTGCAACCAAGGTACATGCCCTTTACAGAACCTGGGACCCTTCAGTCCCCAAGCCGACGCTCTATCCATTGAGCCAAACCGGTCTTGGCTAGAAGACCCCATGGATTTTACTGGCACTTTTTTTTAATGAGGAAGGAGGGACACTGCCTGAGACATACAGCCATTAGACATACTTTCCTCTTCCTTGGTCAGGCCCAAGAAGTTTGTGGGAGAAAGGTGTTGGCAGAAATGTGTCTCACCCACCACCCACGGAAACTCAGGACCTCTTCATGTAGAGAGTCCCAGCCCTACTCCCCCAAGAACATGATTCTCTCTAGTAATCATGACCTCAGAAAGGGTACCATCACCCCAGGATGTTCCTACCAGAAACACGAGTCAGTCTAGACTCCTCTTACCCCAACTTAAACACATCACCTAGTGTCGTAGAAAACTGGACCCCTGGAATATGTCCCAGGTCCACCCACTTCCCTCCTTTCCTGCCACCATGGTCTCTACCTACCATCCCTCTCATAGGTTTCTGCCTATTCTCCATGGGTCAATCTCTGCCCCTCCGCTCCATTCTCCACAGAGCAGCTGCAGTGAGCTCTTTAAAACCTCAGTGATCTATTTAGCTCTCTTGCCAAAAATCCTTCAATGTCTCTCAGTCTCACTAAGAAGAAATTCCAATATCTAACGAAATCTGTAAGGCCTTCTAAGGTCTGCCCTATGCCTACCTCTCCCTGCCCACCACTGTGCCATGCCATGCAGAGTTCAGTCTACTCCAGCTACACGTCTCTTCAGTCCTTTGGGCTCCCTACCCCCTGAGGACTTTCACATTCTAGTCCTTCTACCAAAATGCCCCTTCCCACACTCTGTGTTTGAATGGCTTCTTCACAAACTTCTGATCTCACCTGAAATATGACCTGCTCAGAGAGACCGCCTCTGACCTTTCTCTAAAGAAGACCTGCTCTGTTGGTCTCTGTTCCAAGCCCGAATTTTGTTCTTCTGTGGTTTTCCCACACTGTACACGTGTTAGTTCACTTGCTCGTTGTCCATCTCCTCAAGCCTGCCAGCCCCGGGAAAGCTGTGTTTTCCTTTAGGACACAGCAGCCCCTGACATGGCATAGGTGTCAACCGTTGAATGCCTGTGGTAACTCCAGGACTCTGATATTAAAGTCAGGACCCGATTCAATTCAGTTTCTAGTGAATAACTATTTCCCAGTGCTGTGCTAAATGTTGTGGGAGTTGCGCAGGGAACGCAGTGCTCATTCATCTAGCATCCATGTGTTTAACCCATAGCAGGTAGGACAGATGTGGGAATAGGAATGGTTGGGGGTTGGGGGAGGTAGCACAGTTGGGATAATAGAAGAGAAAGTTGGGCTGACTCAGCAATGTGAATAAACACCTTGGAGATCACCCGGTAACACAGGAAATGCCTTAGCTCAGCCCAGGTGGATAAAGCCAAGATCATCTACAAAATAGAGTTCCCACCACAGACTAGACTCTGAACTCAGACTTGTGGCAAGCACAGTGGGCATGTAGTAGACACTCAAAGCCCAGCCAGCATGGCTCAGTGGTTGAGTGTCAACCTATGAACCAGGAGGTCACGGTTTGATTCCAGGTCAGGGCACATGCCCAGGCGGTGGGCTCCATCCCCCATGGAGGTGGTGAACAGGAGGCAGCCAATCTATGATTCTCTCTCATCCTTGATGTTTCTATCTCCCTCGCACTTCCTTTCTGAAATCAATAAAAACATAAATTATTTTTGCAACTCATCTCATTGTATTGGAGAAACTAGCTGAGCTGACCCTCTCTTCCCCTCCTCAAACAAAGCATCCCCGGAAGCTTCAACTCTGGAGGCGATGGGTCGGAAGGAAGAAGATGATGACTGCAGCTCCTGGAAGAAACAGACGACCAACATCCGGAAAACCTTCATCTTCATGGAGGTGCTGGGATCGTGAGTGCAGGGCTGGGAGCCGAGGGAGTGGCTGGGGCAGTTGGGGGGGAAGGGGTGGCGGTGGAGAGAGGAGGCTGGGAAGGAGTTGTTCCAGGTCAGCAGAGACTGATCAATTGGGACATCATCTCAGCAGCTCCAAGGGACCGAGGGCAGTGGAGTAGGGGCCCATGGTGGAGAGTGGGGAAAGGTACCTTGGAATAATACAGAGGATGGTTTCTTACACTGGAGCCCCCAAGGAAAAGGCCCTTTCCCAGCTTCTGTCTCCCACCCTGCTCCAAGAGACCCTGTCTATGTCCATAGCTGCCACAGCCCTTGTGTCCTCACCCTGGTCGGAGGAAAGAGACTTTCTGGAACACTTGTGGAGGGTCAGTGACCCTAGCGCCTCTCTGGGCCTCCTCGCCCAGCTTCTTCATCTCCCCAGGCAGTGAAAGGGCAACCCCCCTGTCTGCTGGAGATGGAAGAAAACGGGCTTTGCAGGCTAAGCACAGATGGGTTCACACACCTGGATCAGCTCGGCACCCCCCACCAGCATCTCTGCTCCCTGGCTAAGTGCTGTGTTGGAAAAATAAAATCATGCTGCAGCCCACACTCCCGCCAGCCCCCGGGTGTCTATGCCTCTGCCCCTTGACAATGATTACGCGGCTGGCGGAGCAGAGCCGGCTGCAGCTGACTCTCCACTTGGCCCTGCCTCTCCTCCGGGAGGGCTCAGTCTCTGACGCAGGCTGGGAGCACCTCCGGGCCACCAGCCTCATCGCCTCAGAACCCCAGCTGGTCAGCTAATTAGTCTGGGCTAATTGGCCCAGGGGCTTGGGGAAGTGAGGGGCAGTGAGTGGGCTGGCCATAAAAGCAAGCTCTGCTTTGGGCCAACTGGACTGAGCTTAGCTCTCTCTGCCTTGGCTAGGAGGCAGTGATCTCGAGCAGCGAGGGCTGGCCACACTCACCATAGACGGAGAGGAGCAGGCTGGGTGCTGAGAGCAGGCCTCTGCCCCCCAACCACCACCCCCAACACACACAGAAGGGTCCCAGGGGCGGTGCCAATCATCAAAGTATGGGCCCTCCATCAAGGGCCTTTGCCAAGATAGGGGTGACTCGAGAGGGGGCTTTTGGCAGAAGAGAGAAGAACAAGACTCGTGAGTGATTCTGAAAAGGTTTGCTAAGCAGCCCAAAAATCAAGAGAAGGAGAAAGCAGGATGCCTGGGTGGACAGAAGCTTATTCACCGTCTGCACAGACTTGGGCGGTAGGACTCACAGAAGACAGACATGCTGCCACTTGGCGCTCAGGGAGACCAGCAGCAGCAGCTTCTAAACCCAGCACATCAGAGCCACTGGAGCTTATCCCTCTGATAACTGCGGAAATGCTTAAGAAAAGGCAAAATAATAGTTCAACATCAACATACTCCCCTCCTACATTCAACAGTTGTTAACACTTCGCTGTATTTGTTTACAAACACACACACACATACATACACACACACACACACCATATTTGTACACTGGTTGCAAACATCATCACACATCACTTCCGAATCCTTCTGTCTGCATCTCCTAGGAATAAAGACATTTTCTTCCATATCCACAATATCATGTTCACCCTCAAAAAATAATTCGCTATTATTTTAGCCCAGGCCATTTTTTGAAAAACAAAACACAAAACAAAAACAGATTCCTGGCTGCAGGGATTTGGGAAGACAGAAACCCAGCAGCCAGGAATCTATATTTAAGTGTTTCCAGTGGCTCTCACGTATCCAGCCCCCGCACTGATTTGAGGCAACCAGGAGGGCAAGATAGGGTCAAGTCACTGCTTAGCAGCTAGGGCTGAGGAGAAGCTAAGGAGAAAGCTCCTCTGTAGTGCTCAGGAGGGGGATAGGCAGCCCGGGCTGCAGACCACACAACTGACCAAGGGGAGGCGCTGTGGGGAGGGGACCAGGGGGCAGAACAGACTCCTCCATGAGGGATGCACCAGAATCCCTGCCAAAGGCCCCTTCTCTCCAGTGTTTGGCTCCTCTGCATTAACCAAATAGGGAGAACAGGCTTTTACTAAATCTTCCCAGACACTACCCACAATTCCAAGGCCCTGGGACAACTGTAGGGACGCTGGGCAAAGCTAGTCTGTAGCAGGAGGTTTGTCATCCAAGGTCCAGGCTGCCTCCTTTCACTGCCCAGGAAAACATTTTTTTCTCCTTGGCCCCTGAGCCCCACCTCTGGCAGCACCCAGGCTCCCAGCAGGAGTGGAGAGCAACTCAGAGCAGGAAATGCAAACCAGAACTATTGAAGCCATCACTTCTGGCTCTGCAGGCTCTGCCTGTCTTGCCTCCTGACCCGAACAACCTTGACTGCTCAAAACTAGCTCTCTGCTCCCCAATCTGACAGTCTGACAGATGGCACAATTAAGTCTTCCAATCCCTCTCCTCTGCCACACACACACACACACACACACAGCCTGGGGCAGAGGAGCAATACATCACTTCCGATTGCCACAGCAGGTGCCATGGACACGCACCTTGATGTAAATGACACCCCAAAAAGGCCTCCCTCAATTTGATCTCATTGCACAAGAGGATCCAGAGCAGGTGCCAGCTTTAAAATTGGGGGAACATTCGTGTGAGGCTATAAAAGTAAAGGTGAAAGAAGCGCTCAGGGTAGACCCTTTAAAGTCACAGCTGTTAAGGCCACGTTTCTCAACTCTCTCCTTTTATGAATAAGGAAAGTAGAGTCTCACCCCTATCTGCTGCTCCCCACCTCCATGCTCTTTTTCATGCTTCTTCCCCACCCCCACCTGAAACACCACTTTCAAGTGTTTCTCTCCCTCCCCCCCACCCTGCCCCCACTGGACTAACTCTCATTCATTCCTTTAATCTTGAGCCAGAGTGCTCGTAAGTCAGACAGCCATGAATTACGTCCTCCTCGGCTATCCCAAATTATCTCTGTACACATTAGGAAAAATTGTCCTTTTCTCTGGCCTACTGTCTGCTGGGGGTGGGGGAGGAGATGTTGTAATAATTATGTTATAAAGCATACAGTGGCTCCAAGGTGAATGGCATCTGCTGGAACTGGCAGCACACAGCCAGCCCAACTGTAGTAGGGGCAATGTCTTAAGTCTCCATTTTCAGTGCTCTCATAATACTTACTGCTTATCTGTAAGTGTCTGTCTCTCACACTAGATTCTAAGCTAGAGAGAGAAAGATAGTAATATCAGTGTTGAGAGTCATAGATAAGCTGCCTCTGCAGCCCCCTACTAGGGATTGAGTCCCCAGCCCAGGCATGTGCCCTGACCAGGAACTGAACCATGACCTCCTAGTTCATAGGTCGATGCTAAACCACTGAACCACACTGGCCGGGCTGCAGTGACCTCTCTTTAATGAGTTTCCCAAGTGAAGAAATCTCTCCAAAGCAAAGCAGAGTCTCTGGGAGTCCTTCCCAAATTATAGACCCAGGAAATATTATTGTATAGTCCCTAAGTCTGTAATAAAAATCATTTCTTTCCCATGTGATGGATGAAAGAGAGGGCACAATGGCATGACAGAAAGGATCTGCCATCAACAGTTCATCAGATGCCCATAATGACAATGGGCATCAGATGCCCCATCTTCCTTTATTGACACTTCAGTTTTGCCTCCAACAATGCTCTCTAGCCAGCCAGTACTAATTTTTATTTCCCCGTGTCTTCTACTCAGAGGAGCTTTTTCTGAAGTTTTCCTGGTGAAGCAAAGGGTGACTGGGAAGCTCTTTGCCCTGAAGTGCATCAAGAAGTCACCGGCATTCCGGGATAGCAGCCTCGAGAATGAGATCGCGGTGCTGAAAAAGTGAGTGGGTCTTAGGGTTGGCTGGGAACAACTGTGGGGTCACACCATTTCCTTCACAAATCACCGTCAAGAAAGTCTGGGGCTGGGTTTTTCATATCAAAAGGCATTGCTCCCTTTGATTGAGCTAACGGGTCAGTTTGACTAACAGCTAAGTTTAGCCAAAAATCTGTCTTGGCTGGATTTTTTCTCCCAGCCAATTGTCTAGTGAACCCACAGGTAGCAGAGCTGGTTTATGCACATAGACCAGAGGGTAATTATCTCAAAGGAACAAACTTCAGTTGAAGGACAATCCTAGAGAGAATTGACAAGTAAAGAAGTAATGTAAAACTTGGAAATGAACCTCAATTTGTTCCAAATCGAATGTAGGGTTAATACCCTAAGCATCATGATGGAGGCTACACTAATAAATCATAATGTTTACAGCAGGACTTGTGCAACAAACCCTTGTGGGATTCCTTTGGTGTGCAAAAAAAGTATAAGTAGGCATTAGGACCACAAGAATGAAGCCAACAAAATTCCTTACCCTCAGGAGCTCACACTTTCTGGGCAGAGACAGGAGTACTCATAGCAAACTCTACTCCCATTAGATGTGACTCACACTAGCAGAAGGCAGAGTTTGAAGGAGAAAGGGATTCATTTTGCCTGCATGTGTTTTTTTTATGAGTAAGGACTATTAGGTACATTTTCAAAGAAGAGGAATCTTGATGGATGAGTAGAATTTTATGGAGGCAGGAGGGGCAATTTGGGAAGGGAATTCAGATTGAGAATAAAATAAAGTTTAATATAGAATCATGGAGCTACAAGGGGTTTTGGGGAAGAGTAAGTGTTGGAAGCCCCTGAACTTATTATCAAGGGACAGGAGATGAAACCAAATGGTCAAGTGGGACTTGATTATAAAGGGTCTTGGCTGTCATGATGAAGACTATTGACTTTATTCTGTGGGCAAAGAAAAGTCATCAAAGGATTTTAAGTAAGAAGTCACATAATCAGATTTCGATTTAGAAATCCTGTAGTAAGCCAGGAATGGAAAATGCCAGCCTAAGGGATGGGAGATCAATTACATGACTTTCTCAAGCAAAAAGGATACAAACAAAAATTGTAGCAGGATCATGCAATGGCCAGAAGACCAAGGTTAGGAGGCATTTCAGAGAGAGAAGTGATTGCATGGGGGTTGACTGGTAAGAATATAAAAGAAAAAAGCATTAAAAATTACTCTGAGATTGAGTGATTAAGTGGACAGTAATATCATCCTTGAGATAGAAAGCAAAAAGGATGTCTAGGCTTAGAGGAAATAGAAAGAAAATGATTGGAGCACAATGAATATAAGTATCCACTTATCTCTACATGAAGGTATCTGGTAGGATGTTAAAGATATAGGTCTGGGCTTCAGAGAGATTAAAGCAGAGAATGTGGCTCAGTGGTTGAATATTGACCCATGAACCAGGAGGTTAGGGTTTGATTCCTGGTCAGGGCACATGCCTGGGTTGCAGGCTTGATCTCCAGTAGGAGGCATGCAGGAGGCAGCCAATCAATGATTCTCTCTCATATTTGATATTTCTCTCTCTTCCTCTCTCTGAAATCAATAAAAATATTTGTTTAAAGCAGAGAGGGACTCTAGACTCATTGAAAGCAAGGTGGTCTTTTATGTTATTGTATTGTATCATCAGTCCCTAACAGCACAGATACATAAACAGCCATAAACACTTGTTCTGTGAGTGAATCAACAAATTGATGTTAGTTTTTGTCAGCTTGTATGTATAATTCAATCCATCAGATTGCCACTGCAAGAAGTCTATATTATTAAGTACTATAAGCCTGATGCATGAAATTCGTTCATAGGTAGGGTCCCTAGGCCTGATCAGTGATCAGGGCCAATCAGAGCCTCCCTTCATTCCTTGCCATCACCTGGTGGTCAGCACAAATCACAGAGAGCAATAGAACTCCTGGTCTCCTGGTCGAACTCCTGCGGGGACGCTTTACTTATTAGCCTTTTATATATATATATATATAGATGTGTTTACTATTCCACAGACACTGTGCTAAGCATTTGACATGTATTTTTTAAATTCTTATATAACTCTATAAGACAGATCTTTGAAGATGAAGAAAGTGAGGCTTGGAAGATTTGAGTAGTAAGCCAGTCAAAGTTACCCAGTTAAAAGGCTGAACTAGATCTGAACAATAGACTTAGAGTCTAAGTTCTTAACCTCTGTGTTGCACAACCATGAGTCAAACTTCCTAAAAATTTTCTTCCTGGACAGCCACACACTGAATTGTTGATCGGAAAGCCAAGCCCTCAACTAATATGATTATTCTGCTTGCCTCCACCTCTGAGTAATCCCAGCAAAGGTCATCGGGGGGAAAGTTTTCCCACCTCAGCTCTATTGACATTTTCGACCAGATCATTCTTTGTTGTGTTGGGGCTACCCTGTGCATTATAATATGTTTAGCAGTGTTTCTGCTTCTGCCCAGTGAATGCCTGCAATATCTCTCCTGTCACCTGTCATAGTAATCATAAATGTCTTTAGATATTGCCAGATGTCCTCTGAGGGACAAAACAGCCCTGATTGAGAATCATTGGTCTAAGACATCCCAAAGAAATGAACCCCAAATGAGCATCTACCTTCTCACACTATCCTGGAACAAAAAAAATTGCAACATTTTCTCCTTGGTTACCCATGAGGAGGCCTCGCTAACCTAAGTCCCTTCTGTTGTAGTAGCCTTTCTTCATGCAATGTTTCTGAAAGGGACCTGGATACTCATGTTGTACGTATAATCGAATGCTCCCTTAACCTCCTCAAATCTTTTAACTTTCTCTTTTGATCAAGTTGAAAGAGATCAGTAAAGCAACAAATGAAACATTTGTTCCTTAAAGGGAGGCTGATCAATTATCCATTCAAAAACATGGACTGAGCACCACTCTGGGAATATTTTCCCGGGATTTCTTTGTAATGGCCTATGTGTTAGAAAGGCTTCAAAAGGATCCCATTCTTCCTAAATATTGTCATCAAAAGTCTCCAATAGAAATAAGAGTCTCTAGTTGGGCTGGGTCAGCATCCTTTGTCTAGATGACCTAAACCACATGCCTTTCACCATGACCTTACTTTCCCCAGGATCAAGCATGAAAACATCGTGACCCTGGAGGACATCTATGAGAGCACCACTCACTACTACCTGGTCATGCAGCTGTAAGTAAAGGGGACCTGCTTCCCCCACAGATACCCCATGGGGCCTCAGAGGCCTGGAGGAAGCTGGTTGGTGGTGAGGGAAGAATGGTGATTAAAGTCAAGAATTAACTCAAGAGAATCTGAATGCCAAGAGCCCTTTTAGGATCAGTATGCCTCTGGGTGTGGACCTATTCTTTATGCATCCAGGGATAAAGCTAGGGTTGATTATTGAGTTGGTACCTACCAGCACAGCCTTACTAGTTGTTAATATATTTTCTACCATTCAGCAAGTAGCTGTGACTATAACCTATCCATCCTCCCTTCTGACCCAGTTCCTTCCCTCTGGACCTCCCCACAACTCTACTATTGAAGGGGTACTGCCTGGCAAAGCAGGGGCCTCCAGAACCCTTCTCTGTCCCCATGGCTTGAGTCCATTTTGACCAGTTATGTTGAGCAAACTGGATATTAAATGGTTTACCACCACTCCAGAGTAAAATTACTATGGGTGTAGAAGCCATAGGTAGATAGACTTTACTTCAATATAAAGAAAGACTTGCTCAAAAGGGAGTCACCCAAAGTTAAAAACAGGCTGTGATTGTGAGTGCGTTCATGTGTAGACTGAAATGTTGCCTCATTAGGAAGATCTCCCCATCACTGTCATATCCAAATAAGAGTTCTGCCTGAGGGCGGCTGCTGTAGGGTTGGCCAGTTTTCCCAAGGAGTTAGTACTGGGCTCAGAGACACTCTACTTATAAAGTACACACACACTCAAACACACACACATCACTGCAATTTCAGCATAACTGGATGCAATGTTTCTGGCTGACAGGCTAATTCCTCAGAAACTCTAATGAACTAAGTCTGGCTTCAGTAGCCTGTTAACCCCTGGGCTCACCTGAGGCCTGGGGTATAGCAATAGCAAGCAGTCAAGGGAGAAAGGTTGGGAGAGGGCCCAGAGCATCAAAACAAGTGAGCAGAGACCATGTGGCACCTCAATGAAGCCAGGATTATCAGACATTCAGATGGCTAAGGGAGGCAGGAGGGTGGGAAGACTCAGAAGTCACTGAAGAACCACCAAGCCTCCCTGAGCACTACCCTCAGGGCTCAGGATACTCTGACTCAGGAGTTCTTAGTTGTGGACAAAGACTAACTTTCCCTCATGGGCCTCTAGCTCCCATAACAGGGTCCAGAGGATCAGGACAGAAGCAGAAGAAGTAGGATGTCATACATTTTATTGGAGAAATTCTGCACCCTTAGTACCACATGGTCCTCACATGGGTGCATAGCCACATCTTATGCCATGAGCAGTAGAAGGGGATTGGAGCCCCTGAGTCACGGTTGAAGTAGTCTGGGATATTTATCCCAGAGAAGGCCTTAGAAAAGCATCTCAGTGCACATGCCTGAAAAGATTCATGTGATATAGGATGTTGTTTTTGTTCTGTGTGGCCAATGGTGGCATTACTATATGTTGGTAGAAACTATAGGGAGTCGGTTCATCATAGAGCTAGAAATATTGAGGTGACAAAAGATGAAACAGTCTGTCTTAAAAGGGAGTGAGTTCTCTGTTGTCCAATACTTACTAGAAAACTTCTAGGCAAAAACAGTCTAGATGGGACTCAAGAGATGGGGGTCAGACTTGATCTTAGAACTTCCCTAAATTCTACGATACCAGACCATGTGAGCCTCAAACTACCCCTACAACTCCACCCCATACTTTCACCTTTAGGTCGCCCAGTTTAACAAACTGAGGAAAGAATTCCCAACATAAGCACAGAATCCTCATTTGCACACCTTCTCTTTGCCTGATTTCAGTTTCACTTCTCTCTTTCATCATTTCTTCTTCCCCATGCCTTAGGCAGTGAGAGAAGGCAGGTAAGAAATGTGTCCACAGAAAGGAATTCTTGGCTTCTTGGGAAACCCCAACCAGGGGCATTTTACATTTCAAAGGATGTTGCCAGGGAGAGGTCAATGGTTGGCCCAAAGAAATGACTCCCTAGCGAAATCACTCCAGGCACCTGAAGGAGGCATACTGAGACTGGAGTGGCAGGTCCTCCTTGCACAGTCAGGGGTACCTGTCTGTTTCACCACAATTGTGTCCCCATGACTACAGGGCAAACCCATTCATATGACCTGAAATAAGAGCTGGATTCCTGCCTTTGCCCTGTGCCCACAGTGTTTCTGGTGGGGAGCTCTTTGACCGGATCCTGGAGCGGGGTGTCTACACAGAGAAGGACGCCAGCCTGGTGATCCAGCAGGTCTTGTCCGCCGTGAAATATCTCCACGAGAATGGCATTGTCCACAGAGACTTAAAGGTGCCAGTGTGGGCCCTCATTGCGGAGGGGGGGGGGAGTGGGGAGAAAAAAGAGACAGGGAAGTGATCCTTTAGGAAGGTGCAAGGGTCATGGGCAGTCTGAGCTCTGTAAAATGGAAAGGGCAGGACTGGCTCACCCCTAAGGTCCTTTCTGCCCTATGATTGAACAAATCTTAGATGAATGAGGAATCATTGTCAATTTGTACCTCAGCCTTTTCCTGAACTTTTCACCAGTCCTTACCCTATTTGGCTACCAAGATGATCTATAGGTTTCTGGGACCCAGCCACAGACATACTCAAATGTAATAAATACTTACTGAGGGTCAACATTGCACCAGACATGTGCCAGACTTTGGAGAGGTCAGAGGTAGTTAACCAAAGGTTAATTCCTTCAAAAAACAGTCTTAGGGTAGTTGGGGAATGAGGAGAGAGATGGATTAGTGCCTTAAAGGCTATAAAGCTAAGCAAAGTCAAGGTCATAAGCAAAATATTGAATGATGGGGTATAGGAGTTGAGGGTGCAGGTAGGAGCAGGAGAGAAGAGTGGGGGGAGGGGAGAGATGAGTCTGGCCTTGATGTCAGGGCCCAGGGTGCAGCTTCCTAAAAATATATATATTAGGAGGCGAAGAGATGTATGTTTCAGATTATTAGTATATACATGCTATTTCTCCTCACCCACAGCCTGAAAACCTGCTGTACCTCACCCCTGAAGAGAATTCTAAGATCATGATCACAGACTTTGGTCTGTCCAAGATGGAACAGAGTGGTGTCATGTCCACTGCCTGTGGGACTCCAGGCTATGTTGGTGAGTCTGAGAGCAGGAGGGAAGATGACCGATTGGCTACATTTGACCACATAGATGTTATTCACAGAGAAGTATGTGACTCACAGTTGTGAGGAGATAGAGTTCAATTTCAGGGATGATCCAAGCAGAACAATCACTTATGAGGCTCAGGGCCAGCCAATCCATTGATCTCTAAACTACCCAAGTTTGCATCTGAAAGACAACCTACCCCAACTTCTGCCTTTGTCTTTCAGGCTATACAAGGGAGAGAGACAAAGTCACAAACACAGAAACCTTTAGACAGTGAAGGGTTGTCCACTAGCCCCCTTTCTCTTCTCCCACTTGAAAGGAAACCTCAGCCTCCCAAGTGTTGGTAACCTGGAGGCATAGTGCTGTGTTTGTATCTAAGGAACCCCCAAATCACATCCTAGGAAACTGGTAGAAGTAGGGCATCCTGCCTAAGGAGGAGGCTTTCAGAGCCCCCCAAAAAGTAAGAGCAGGCAGGATACCAGGGGAGATCACTGGGGGAGAAAGCCCAGACTCAGAGCAGCCTCTCCTACCCTTTCCCCCTTAGCCAGTCCTCACCGGGTTGGAATTAGGAAGTGGGAAGTACAACCCTGACTCAACAGAGAGAATGGGCACTCTCCCTAGAAGAGAGGTTGGTACTTACCATTAGGTATTTAGTCCCATTGGGCACAAGCCCTGGTGTCTGTGATCAACACAGAAGACAGATAAATGAGCTCCCAATCAGTGAAAGACGTAGCTCATTCCCTCGTGGAACTCATGATCTGATCAGGCAGACTAAGCCCAGACCTCAGAAGGCGCCACAGACTGATGGGACCGGTTTAGCCAGTCCTTGGAGAGTTCCTCCCTGAACAGGGGAGACTCAGTCTCTACCTTCATGGAAATCCTGGTCTAGTCAGAGAGAATCTCTAACATGCAGATTTTTCCATAGCCCTTGCCCTGGGGATCCCCAATCTAAGTGGGGAGACACAGGACCTGCCTTCAGAAAGCACTCAGTCCAATGGGTGACACATAGCTCTGAGATCTTCAGTCTGAACAGAGTGTCCTGGGGACCTCCTAGTTCAATGGAAGAAGAGGTAGTCTGTTGGGAAAGACAAAGTCCCTGCCCTAGAGGAGTTTTCTAATAAATTCTCTTCTCTAAGCCTCTTCCTGACCTTCGATCCCCAACCCACCATGCTCTCCTTGTGCCCCAGCCTTGACTCTGCCTTCGGTTTGCAGCTCCGGAAGTGTTGGCCCAGAAACCCTACAGCAAAGCTGTGGATTGCTGGTCCATCGGCGTCATCACCTACATATTGTGAGTAGAAGCTGTCATTGGCTCAGTTCCTGGAAATTCTCTGAACATGCTCACCCCCTCTTCTCCTGTCTTCTGTCTCAGCTCCTCAAGCAGCATCCACCTCCAAAGCATGTGCATAGACATGTGCACACACACACACACACACACACACATGCACACATGCACACACACACATATACACACACACAGGCTTGTGCACACAGCTCTACCTATCCTGTTTACCAGGTAATAAAAACAGCTCAAAAGGAACCCACTGTTCAGCCACCTGGTAGTCTGTCTTCCTGCCCCTTTACTGCATGTGCTGAGTCCTGCTCTGTGGCATGAGCAGTGAAAAGAGGAGAGGCCAAGTCACAAAAGCCACATGGGCACAATGTTCACATCTAAGATTTTTCTCCTGGTGATGTCAGCCCAAGGCCACGTGATGGCCTGAATAAACCTGGTCATTGCTCTCCCACACATTCCCAGGCTCTCCTTTCCAAACCTGCTTGCCACCTCTTCCCCTCCAGCCCTCCTCACCTGTAGCTCTTAGAAAAACAACCTACTGTTTGTTATTTATCACTTGATGTGGATTCAGTTCTCTATTTCCTTAGCTTATGTCAAATAATGACTCTCATTTATTCATTTACTCAACAAATATTCACTGATTGTCTACCCTGTGCCAATCACTGGTGTAGGTACTAAATAATAACGAACAAAATGGCCTTTAAAATCCCTCATAAAGCTTGCACTCAAGGATGGACATTCTACCACCCTTCTTAAAGATATTTTATATTGCCCTAGCCCAGTGGTCGGCACTCATTAGTCAACAGAACCAAATATCAACAGTACAACGATTGAAATTTCTTTTGAGAGCCAAATTTTTAAAACTTAAACTTCTTCTAATGCCACTTCTTCAAAATAGACTCATCCAGGTCATGGTATTTTATGGAAGAGCCACACTCAAGGGTCCAAAGAGCCACGTGTGGCTCGTAAGCCGCAGTTTGTTGACCACATCCCTAGCCAGTTTGGCTCAGTGGATAGAGCGTCAGCCTGTGGACCAAAGGGTCCTGGGTTTGATTCCAGTCAAGGGCACATACCTTGGTTGCAGGCTCTTCCCAGACCTGGGCCTTGGTCGTGGCTCATGCAGGAGGCAACCAATTGTTGTGTTTCTCTGCCTTCAATGTTTCCCTCTGTCTTCCGTCTCTTCCGCTCTCTCCAAGAATCAATGCAAAAATATCCTCGGGTGAGGATTACAAAAAATGGAGGGCAAAAGGAAGATATTCTATATCATCTGGGAGACAGGGGAGGTACAGGGAGAGGTGGCAAGGGTTTGTGGGAAGAATGTCCAAAGGGGTCTTCCAGGCTGCCTGTTCCAAGCTTTGGCTGCTGCATAAACATTTTATGGGACCTGCACTGTTACTGAATCAGAGGCAGACCCCCGTCCTGGTCACACTGCGGGGGGGAGGGAGGGGACCCTTGTTGGCTGCTATGTGCCTGGTGGGAGGCTGGCCCATGGGGAGAGGCTGGCCCAGGAAGGAAGCATGGCCCTCCTGTTCCCCTGCAGGTTGTGTGGGTATCCTCCTTTCTATGAAGAAACGGAGTCCAAGCTTTTCGAGAAGATCAAAGAAGGCTACTATGAGTTTGAGTCTCCATTCTGGGATGACATTTCTGAGTCAGGTAAGGGCCGTGGGTGTGAATGACAAGATAACAGCTCAAGGGAGAGGCTGCCTAGAGAAAAGAGCTTAACAAAGGATGACAGCAAGCTCTTGAAAGTCCCTGGGGAATCTTACAGAAAACAGGCTGCCAGGAAGGGTAGAGAAATCTTTATCTGGTTCCAAGGCCAATATAGTATGCACACCTAAGGTTCATGCTTTTGCTTTCCCTGGAGACAGAACTGCAGCCTGCCCGGGATAAGCAGGGAGGCAGTCCCTATGAGGGGGCAGTAGGCACAGCCAGGGGAGTCCTCCGGCAAGACTGGCAAAACCAAGGCCAGGTTTTGCCTTTTACACATCAAGACGGACACCATGCCATGTCTCTGTGTGTGAAAGACAACCATTGCGTGTTGTTGGATCCATTATGTAGAGATCAGAGCTGGGAAAAAGCCAGCACTCACATGTGTGCCCCCGTGTCTGTGCTGGTCCCTGAATGGCGTCAATACACATGCTGGTGCCTCGTGACGAGAGGTGGACATGCGCTGCTACGTGGGTGAGGCTGAGGAGAGCCTCTCTTTGGTGCTTTATGGTGGGTTGTTGTTAGGTGGTTTGGATTTTTTTTTTTAAATCTCTTTTTAAGACTTAAAATTGCCTCTTTGGAAGATTAGCTAAAAGATGCATTCACTGCCACCCACCAGCCGGAAGTGAATTTCCATCAGTCATGAAATCTGCTCCTTAGCTGCTGTGTCTTTGATTGCTCCTCTTAGCCAAGGATTTTATTTGCCACTTGCTGGAGAAAGACCCGAGTGAGCGGTACACCTGTGAGAAGGCCTTGAGGCACCCCTGGTGAGTGAGGAATGGGGTGGGTTCAATCTTCAACCCGTGGCTCCCCAGATACCACACTGACCTGTCCAATGGAATGTTTCCCTGGAGTTTGCTTGCCCCCAGCTGCCTACTGTTGTGGCATTTGGGGAGTATAGGTGTGTTCCTCGGGCCCAGCCAGAGACGCAAACAGCATTTAATTAAGTGGGTTCTGACCCCAGGGTGACAGCTGGGCCATCCAGTCAAGTGCAGAGGGCAGCAGCTAGGCTCTGTGTCAGCACTATAGGGCAATACTACGTTCTAGTTACCTAAGATGCCTCTGTCTACTCTTCAGAGCATCATTTAACTCTACAGTCAAAACTGTTCCGTATGAAGTGGTTTGAACATGATCACAATTTATGAAGTGGGTCAATAAAGTCTTGAAACACCTCCTTTTCTTCTTGCTACACCCCTGCTCAAGAATTTACAATAGCTCCCTATTTCCTACCACAGCACTCCCAGAATCCTTTGCCCAGATTTTCCCTAATCTGGCCAGAACTCCAACTTTGCTTCCCAGGATTCCCAACACACCTTCTCTATTCCAGAAAGGCCCATGAGCTATACTTCTGTCCCTGCCTTTCCCAGCCCCATATGCCAAACTCTTTCTGAATTGCACCTTGGGTTATACCATTTTCCCCACCGGGGAGGTCCTGCCTCTTGCCTTGCATGTAGCATCCTTCCGGATCTAGAGTGTTCTCTGCCCTTCCCTAGAGCCATGGTTCCTCAGTCCATGGTGTGAAGCAAGACTCCACTCCCACACTGTAAGCCCCGAGGGGATCAGGACCACGTCTGTCCCCTCTCTGGGTTCCTTAGTACCTAGCAAGTCCTGTGCCCATGGCAAGTGTCTGAGGAACACTGAGAGACAAGTGAACAGGGGCTGAAGGATAGGACAAGGGCCACCTATATTGGGTGGTCTCACTGAGAAAGGTTTCCAGGGGGAGGTGGGTTCTGAGTGAACTTTTGAGCTAATGGATGGGGACAACCCAAGTGCCTCTGACCCTTTTTATATAAAAGGTCAGCTAGTGAACAGTTTAGGCGTTGCTGGCTATGCCACCTTGGTGGCAGCTGATCTGTCTGGCTCTGTAGAACGGAAGCAGCCATAGCCCATCCCTGAATGAAGGGGCAGATCTGTGTCCTGGGAAGACTTTTACAAAATCAGCAATAGGGAGACTTGCTGATCCTACTCTATCTAAAGCAGGTTTTGGTTTTGCCAAAGCCCAGACCCCTGATGACTTTCCCTGGGGACAGAGGAGCTCGAGTCCCAGCCCCTCCGTGGGCTCCACTTGGTTTAACCTGGACCTACATGCACTGTCTCCTGGCTGAGTTCCCTTAGGAGTCCACTACCCAGGTGTCCCCTCTGCATCCACAGGATTAACGGAAACACAGCCCTCCACCGGGACATCTACCCCTCAGTCAGCCTTCAGATCCAGAAGAACTTTGCCAAGAGCAAGTGGAGGGTAAGTGGTCCTCCCAGGAGGCCACAGGCTGCTCTGGGCCCCTGGAGGCCAGGCTGGGGCGGGGCTAGTGAAGGGATTCCCTTGCGGATTCCCAGCAGACACTGGCACTCCCTGGTCCCTCTCTGCACTAAGTGGGCATTTTGGATTCAAGAGGCCACAGGGCAAGGGAAAGTGAGCCAAGGCTGGTCTTGTCTCCTTAGCAAGCCTTCAACGCGGCCACCGTGGTGCACCACATGAGGAAGTTGCACATGAACCTGCACAGTCCCGGTGTCCGCCCCGAAGCAGAGAACAGACCTCCTGTCATGAAAGCCTCAGAAGCTTCGAGACCCAGCTCCCCTGAGATCACCATTATTGAGGCCCCTGCCTTGGACCAGAGCGTGGCACTCCCTGCCCTGACCCGGCTGCCCTGCCAGCACAGCCTCCGGCCCACAGGTCCCGGTGGCAGGTCCCTCAACTGCCTGATCAACGGCTCCCTCCGCATCAGCAGCAGCCTGGTGCCCATGCAGCACGGGCCCCTGGCTGTGGGGCCCTGTGGCTGCTGCGCCAGCTGCTTGAGCATCGGAAGCAAAGCCAAGTCCTCCTACTGCTCTGAGCCCTCCCTCTTCAAAAAGGCCAACAAAAAGTACGTGTTTTCCTTTCTTTTCTAATATGGTTCTATTGGTGCTTAGAGAAAGAGAGGAAGGGAGAGGGTAGAGAGAGAGAGAAACATTGATGAGGGGGAAACATCATTGATCAGCTGCCTCCTGTATGCCCCCTACTGGGGACTAAGCCTGCAAATCAGACACGTACCCTTGCAGGGTATTGAACTGATGACTTTTTGTTCCTGGGTCAATGTTCAACCACTGAGCCACACCAGCCAGGCAAAAAGTATATATTTTCACCCAAAGACAGAGGCCTTGTCCTACCCAGCCTGGGTCTGAAAGAACTCAGGCAACGAGCTAAAATAAATTGGCCAAAGGATCTCTCCCACTCAAGGCAGGTCTGTGGGGTGGGAAGAGCTCTGGCTCAGGGGTCAAGGGAAATGCTGTCCTTCCCACCCACTAGCTGTGTGACCAATAACAAATCAAGGTCTCTGCCTCTATTTTGATCATCTGTAAAATGGGTTCACTGAATTACATTTACCTGCTCAGCCTGCCTCACAGAGGCACTATGAAAGCAACAGGAATTATAAATGCCTGCAGAAACCTGGGCATGTGTGTGAATGAATGAGCATTAGATTCCTTGAGTTTCCGGGGTCTCAGTGTTTTGGGGGGAGGAATGGGGCTTGCTTGTCTTGTTTGTCTTTTCTGCAAGTGCTTGTACTTTCTGAACCGCCTAGAGCAAGCATGTCAAATTCAAAGGCTAACACAGGACAAATAAATGAGACATGTGGCCTGTGGGCAGAGAGTTTGAAATGCTTGGCCTAGTGGTCGGCAAACTTATGAGTCAACAGAGCCAAATATCAACAGTACAACAATTGGAATTTCTTTGGAGAGCCAAATTTTTTAAACTTCAACTTCTTCTAACGCCACTTCTTCAAAATACTCTTCAAAATAGACTTCAAAATAGGCCCAGGCTGTGGTATTTTGTGGAAGAGCCACATTCAAGGGGCCAAAGAGCCACATGTGGCTCACGAGCCGCAGTTTGCCAACTATGGGCCTAGAGGACGGGCGGAGAGGATGCAAACTATCTGGGCTCTTCTTCCCGTGTCAATGACATCATAGCCTGCTGCCCCTCTTCCTCTCTAGGAACTTCAAGTCCGAGGTCCTGGTGCCCGTCAAAGCCAGCGGCAGCTCCCACTGCCGGGCGGGGCAGACCGGAGTCTGCCTCATTATGTGATCCCTGTGTCACTGCAGCTTTCAGGTGAGGGACCAGAGTCAGGAGGGCTGGGCGGGGAACTTGATGGAGGAGCTCTATCCTGAAAGGAAGGCCCCATCCCAGCGTCTGAATAACGGGGTTTGAGGGATGCTAGCACCCCCACTCCACCCTGCACCCTTTCTTCTGCAGGAGTGATGGCCAACTCTTCTCTGCCCTTCAGAACCTGGGCCGACTCTGCAGCAGGAGGAAGGGGAACAAGCAGGCCAAGGTGTGACGGGAGCAATTTCCGGTCAGAAGCAGCCAATTGCTTCCGCCTGGGGCAGACCTTCACCGCGGGCCCAGGCATGAGCCACCAGGCAACAAGGCCTCTGCAGCTGTGGGCAGGAGGAACGGCACCCGCCGCTGGCTTCCAGGTCTCCCTGGCCTGCTGTTCTGCACCCCACTCCCCACGTGCCGTGCCTCTGTGCAGTGTGCATAGATAGCTCTTGCCCAGGTCTGTGTTGTTTGTCTTGAAAAGCTTACCAGGCTGGCCAGGCTGTGTCAGAGCAAAGCCATAAGGAGCATCTACCCAGACTCCCCGCTCAGCACTCACGCGCTCCTGCCTCTCAGGCCTCCATCCCTGTGGCCAGAAGGGGTTCATCCATGTAGTCGCCTGCCCATCCCATCCGCATGAATGGCGGGCAGCTGGGCGGTCTGCCTGTGCGCTCTCAAAGGGAATTTCTAACTCCAGGATTGGCTCCTCATTGTGCCGAGACCCCCAGCCTGCGCCAGCCCACTTCTGAGCCAGTCCCCTCCCCACCCCAGTCCACAGGCAGTGCCGCACCCTCCGAGAAGGAAAAGGAGGAAAACCATGACGACGTACTGTGAGGAGTAATATCCTGGCCAGATGCCCTCTGCACACACATCTGATTGAGTAAAAACTGGAAGTTGACTGTTTTCATTGCAGCAGGAATTCTAACCCAGCCTCTGCTCCCCTCTCTCTCCCTGAGAGTCAGGCGCATCGTTCTTATCTCTCCCTCTCCCTCCCCCCCCCACACACACACTCACTTTTCTTGCCATCCAACCCCCTTTCGGCTTCATGCTCAGTGTTGTGCTTAATAAAATGGACATATTTTTCTCTATAAGGCTTCCTTTGGTTCTTTTTGTAAAACATATTTGTATTGACTTCAGAGAGGAAAGGAAAGGGAGAGAGAGAGAAATGAGAGAGAATCATTGATCGGCTGGCTCCTGCATGCCCTCTACTGGGGATGGAGCCTGCAACCCAGGCAGGTGCCCTGACCTGGAAACAAACCATGACCCTCAACCACTGAGCCATGCTGGCCGGCTCCTTTGGTTCTTCTCAAATCAGAAGCAGCTCAGGGACTTGTGAGCATGTGTGGAGAGGAAAGTGCATGGGGAGGTTGAGGCCAGGAAGGACATAGCAAACATAGACCCGGAGCACATGGTGTGCCAGGCACCTGAAGACGGGCATGAACATACTGACCCATTCCTCCTCACAAGGGCCACTCAGAGTCCAGGTGATCCAGCTGCAGCCTCCATGCTCCTAATGATTGTATGACAACAGCATGAAGTTGAGGCCCAGCCCTGCCCTGCCACATACGGGACCCTGGGGAAGTGATGGAACCCTCTGTGTCACCTTGGTTTCCTCATTTGTCAGATGAGAATAACAGCGCCACCTACATCATGAAATAGTGCAGAGGGGTATCCAGCCCCAGTTTGTCAATAAATAACCTCTTGATATAAAAACCCTGGGTGTAACACGGTCACGGCAGAAGTTCCACCAACCTGAAGGAAGTCAGTCCCGCAGGGGTGGCCTTGGCAATGGCTGTGCCCTCCTGGAGCTGTTCCCACGGAGATTGAGGTTTGAGGCAGGAACGGGCCCTTGGAGTGTGGAAGGTCCTGGATTGCCTTGGCAACTATTGTGCCCTCCCCGAGCTATTTCCTTCGAGGCCTGAGAGAAGAACCCACTCTCGGAGCGACAGTCAGTCCTGGGTTGCCCAGGCCAAGACCAAGGTGTGGTAGAACTCTGGGTCTGGCCCTTCAGGGGGCGTGGTCAGTCTTCCAACCAGGCTCTGGCAGGAGGGAACAGGGAGCCCCATTCCTCATGGAATCAACAGGCGGCCAGCTTGCTGTCAGGGGCCTGCCAGCTAGGAATTCTATTCACCTGCATATCTGTATGTGCCGTCCCTGCACGGCCAAGGGTGACCCTGAGTGGGGGCAGCTGAAAGGCTTAGAAAAGACAGACAAGAGAATGAAAGCGAGGTCTCGGTGGGACTCTGCTTCTCTAAAAGACAGGGTCCGCGTCCACAAGCCGTGTCACAAGGCAAAGTAAAGGCGTGGTCAAGATGTTTACAGCGTTCTCATGGGTTTCAATCCTACCCAATTACATGCACCTGAACTCTAGCAAGCTCACATCACTCAGGCATGTGGGGCCACGTGTTCGGACCGTAGGTTCAAGCCCACAACTATAGCTGTTGGCTATCATTGTGCTGGATGGCTCTGCCCTCCAAGCTGGAACTTGCACGTGGCCACGAGAGGACTGTGCCCTCTCATCAGTCCGAGGCTTGGACCGGTCCAAACACTGTAGCTGCTCCCCACATCAGTATAAAGTTTTAATACATTATATTGGAGTTCGTGGTGGTACTGTTTTACCCGCAAGGTCTACAGGAATTGCTGCAAATTTACTTCTCGGTGGAAGAATCTTTCATTCCCAATATAAATTACAAATTCCATTAAATGAAACTTCAATTTCTAAACTCGATATAAACAGTGAAGTTGATAAAACTATTAAAAAGGCCTAACTTCTCATTATTAATGAATGCTCCATGGCATCCAGTCATGCTATAAACGCCATAATTACTAAGAGAAATTATGAATTTCAATGTTGTATTTGGTGGAAAAATTCTCCTTGGATCTTTCGACAATGTCTCAGCATTGTACCGCATGCTATGCAAAAGGCCATAGTACAAAGGAGTTTAAAATACTGTGATGTTTAAGGATGTTTCAGAAAGTTGTCTCTTACAACAAATATGAGATTAGAGGATTCTGCTTATAGTAAACTTGGAGATGGCAAACCTGATAGCAGTTTTCATTTAGGAATGTATATTATTGAAATATTTATAAGACCCGTTATAAATAATTTCATGGGAGCATGAAATTATTTGTAACGGGTCTTATCGAAGCTACCTTTGGAAATAGTATATCTATAGATAATATTAAAAATATACCTAAATGTGGGATTCTTTGTCCAAAAAAATAAGCATGTTCAAATATTAAATCTCTATATACTCAATGGAAATTTTCACACATATTTGAGTGATGATTCCATTGATTCAACAGATGATGCTGAAAAGGAAAACTTTCCCATCGAATTTCTTAATAGTATTACTCCTTTGGGAGTGCTGTGTCATAAATTAAAATTGACAGTGGGTGCAATCATCATGCTATTGAGAAATCTTAACAGTAAATGGGGTCTTTGTAATGGTACTAGATTTAATATCAAAAGATTACGACCTAACATTATCAAAGCTGAATTATTAACAGGATCTGCAGAGGGAGAGGCTGTTCTGATTCCAAGAATTGACTTGTCCCCATCTGACACTGGCCTCCCATTTAAATTGATTCGACGACATTTCCCATGATGCCAGCATTTGCGATGACTATTAATAAATCACAAGGACAAACTCCAGACAGAGTAGTAATATTCCTACCTGAACCCGTTTTCGCACATGGTCAGTTATAAGTAAGTTACTTACGCTCAAGTTCAAAGAGCATGTGATGTTAAAATTATACTTTATCACAAGGGAACTTAGTCAAGCACTCTGAAAGTGTTTTCACTCTTAATGTGTTGTACAGGGAGATATTAAAATAAGTTTAATCACTTTATCAGTCATTGTTTCATCACTGTTGTTTTCATATCATGTTTTTGTTGTTTTTATATCATGCCTTTGTTGTTATATCCTTTTGTTACTGTTTATTAATAAATTGATATATTATTTTCATATTCATTTTACTAATTTCCTTTCATCTCTCACACTTCTATTACAGAGAAAGGGAAAAATAGCAATATTAAAATTTTTCCCCTAATTAATTCCTATTTAATGTGCAAGAATTTCATGCACTGGGCCACTAGTATGCCTAATAACGATCAAGATGTTCCTATAGATAAATGTCTACCACAGTGCCTGGGCTATGGCAGCACACAAACCCTCATGCCATTTCCATATCCACTCCCCATACACACACACATGCACACACACACACACACACACACACACACACACACGTCCATTACAACTTCTCTTTGAGATCCCAAACCACAGAGGCTCTGGTCATAGTGCTTCTTCTAGAAGCCCTGTGAATTTGGAGACCTTGCTTCCCTTCTCTGGATTTCTATTCCTCATCTATAAACGTGAAATCCAGTCATTGTTCAAAGACAAAATGGCTCCTTGGTTCTCTCAGAGGATGGAATCTGTCAGGCCCTGGGACAAAGGGGCCAGGTCTCCCTCAGGTTGGGTGATGAGCAAACTGGAGGAGCAGTGTGGGACAGCCCACACCTCCTACACCACCAGGCCTGGGGCGGCAGACACACGTGATAAAGCGTCACTTTATGGGCAACAGACTATTTTCCCTTTTTGAACCTCCAGGCTCCTTTCCAAAGATTTTATTGGGCCTTTTCACTTGTACATCTTTTGGGTTAAGTTTCTGTGTTGGTCCAGGATTCAGCCTCAGTGGAGAATGAAGAGCGAGGACACTGCCCAGACTTTCTCCCTCCATGTGAGAGCCCCTGGTCACAAGGGTATAGCACATCTCTGCCATCTCTGTCCCTCACATATGGCTGTCCCATCCACTCAGCCTCAGCTGTGGCCCAGAGTACTATTAGCTGCACACCAGGGGTGGTCCTGGCAGTGTGTGATCAGCTGCATAAAAGAAGCTGGAAAGCATTCCAAACCAGTCTGCGCCCCCCTCCCTCCCAGAAAAGAGGGCAGATGCGTGAGGCCGGGGCTGGCAGCTGGAGCATCACTTGCAGGTGGCGTAGTAGAGCACCCGCTCATTGATGTGGTCGCGGATCTGCTCCACGTGCTTCTCCAACCCCGTCAGGTCTGCAGAGCGAAGCATGATGGCCTGGCTCCCCTTCAGCAGCTCCGACTTCATGACTGAGGGCAGATGGAACAGCAGGGGGAGGAGGTGAGGCTGGTGAGACGCCCCCTAAAAACTCCCAACCCTTCCTTCTCCTCCCACCCACCTAGAGGCAGCCCCTGCAGGAGGAATCACTTCTGGGGAGCTCCATGCCCCTCCAACCCTATCCCACTGTTGGCGAGACAAACCTGGCAGAGGCCAGACCCAGAAAGCCTTTGGCCCGCTTATCCCATGGTCCCTACCCTTCTCCTCTGCTCTGGGCTCCCTCAGTTGTCCCAGACTAGTGAGGGAGGCCACTGGTGCCAAGATGAGCACCTGCTGCTATTGGACCCAGAGAACCGCCACCCCACCAATGATCCTCAAGGGGGCCCCTTGGTGAAGAGCTGGCTGAGTGACCAGAATTTCTCCCCAGATAAATCCAGTCCTCTCCCTGCAGTCCATTCTGCAAACCACCACCACCAGACTGTGCATGGAGGATCTGAAGGACTCCCAAGTGGCCTAGTCTAGCCGGTCTCTTCTGTCACCCTAGGCAGGAGACCCTCCCCCACATTCACGAGAGTTGAGGTCCGGCCTCAGCTGGGCTTTTCCAAGAACAGGGAGGGAGTACACTGCCTGCCTAGGCTCCAACGTTAGGCATCTGTAGTTTTATAAAAAAAAAAAAAAAAAAAAAAAAGACTAGTCGCCCTGGCTGGTTTGGCTCAGTGGATATAGCATCGGCCTGCAAACTAAAAGGTCCCGGGTTCAATTCTGGTCAATGGTATATGCCCAGGTTGCAGGCTCGATCCCCAGTTAAGGGCATGCAGAAGGCAGTTGATCAATGATTCTCTCTCATCATTGATGTTTCTGTCTCTCTCTCCCTCTCCCTTCCTCTCTGAAGTCAATAAAAATATTTTAAAAAAATAAAATAAAAATAAAAAAGACTAGTCACGAAGCCAGAATCTGACCACTTCTTGCTTATACCCATCGTTCCAGGTCTATCTCCTAGGGGTGTAGGAATATATTTGCTCTGCCTCCCGCATTGCAGTCCTTCAAATGTCTGAGGCTCATCTTCTCTCGATTCAACCTCCTTAATTCCTCCATCCATTCCTTATTGGATGTAACCATAGAGCCCCTTCCCTACCTCCCAATCCCCTTGCTGTTTGGTTTGTCACTACCCTTTCTGAAGGAGTAGCAGCCACCACTGCACACCACCCCCAGGTGAGGTCCTATCCGCAGAGTGTGGCAAGGCTGTTCCTGGGCTGACATTCAGCTGGTGAGCACTCATGTGGGCCTATGGGCTGGTAAAATACTGACATTTTAACAGCTGCTGTCCTGTTCCCAGTGCCCACCCTTGGGCCCCTGTGCATGATCATCCTATAATCTTGTGAAAGGCAAATTCCTGCAACAGCTAAACAGCTGTCCCAAGGCCACAGCCTGAGCTTTCTCTGATTGGTTAAGTGCATGACACATTTACATCGTTTCGGAATATTTTTAACATCATCCCTGAGCCAGTACGTATTTCGGCTGCTTTATATGCGTTCACTCCTTTGCCAGTCACAATGCATGGCTGACTTATGTCAAGGTTACAGTTACTCAGCACTCAAGTCATTTTCAAGTGAGTAACAACTCACACGTGCTTATCACTTACTGGTTCACAGAGTGTTTTCACTACATTAGCCCCAGAGAAGCCAGGCATGACTCACCTGTGCTCTCCTTGTGGGTTTAGGCCCAAATGAGGCCAGAGGGAAGGTAACTTTTCTCCTTATTTAATTTCATGGTTTTTCAGTCCATCCTTTTAGATGTCTGAGATTGCCTAAAACACTGGTTCTCTTGTCTAGTGTATTCACTATCTGTTTATACACAGATTTAATTAGCATATTCTTTATCTTCATATGAAACATCAATGGACCAGACCGGGCACCCACTGACCCAGCCCCTGGCTCCTCCATCAAGGTCAATTCCTCTCACCTCAGCCTAAGATCTGGCTGATCACATCTACTTAGTGTTGACCCAACAGCCCAACCTTCGCCAAACAGATTTTTGTCTGTTTCTCTGAAATTCAGAGAAGCTGTTTGAGGTGTGCGCTGGCACACCCATACAGCGACCCCATCATCATTGCATCTTACAGATGGAGCCTCCTTTCTGAGACACTCAGAACCCTTTAGAAAGCTCCTTTCATTGCGCCTCTGCCATATTTGAAACCCTTGAAAGGTCCCCTACAGCCTTGAGGGCTGAGTCTGCCTCCATCCTAGCATGGAGGCCAGGCACACAGACCCAGCTGCATGGACCTCTGCTACTTCTCTCCATCCCACTCTGAGCCTCTTCAGCCCTCCTCCCCTGCTGGGTGCTCCTGCCCCATCTTCAGAACATGCCTCCTCCTTCCTGCCTACTCTGTCTTGAGATCCCTCCCTTCTTCACAGCTTCTCCCATGTCTACACATCCTTCAGGCCCTCATCTAATCTTATCTGCTCTGAGCATCCCTTACTGAGCATTTCTCTGACATTGTTTAGTCTCTGAATCCCCAGACCTCTTATTATTTGGGATCTATCATAGACCTATTACATTTATGCTATTAAATACAGTGCCATGCACCTCGTGTATAATAGAAAAAGAGGTTACATCTGGATTGCAAGCTTCTTGAAAACAGGCCACATCATATGAACATCTCTACATTCCCCCACTGCCCTACCATTGTGGCCCATGCTTGCTATGTGCCCAGGAACTTGGGACTGACCTTGCTCCCTTAGCACCGCGAGCTCCAACAAGACTGAGCCTCGGAAGCCCTGGGTGGGACCAGCCCTCTCACCTCTCATCCTGTCCATCATCTGCATGGTTTCCCCAAACAGCTCCTCTGCCTCCATCTTGACCTCCAGGATGCGTGTGCCCTGCTCCCCCAGAGCTGGGCCCTGACGCAGCCGTTCCTTCAGCTCCGCATATTTTCTCTTTATTATGTCAAATCCCTGAAAAAGGCAGAACATTTCTCTGTCACTATCATCATCCTCCAAAGTCCTAAATGCCTTTGGCTAGAGCACTTGATGTCATGCATGCAAATCAACACCGAGAGATAAGGCACCATCTAATATCCCCAAAGGATTGGTTTTGCCATAAAGAAAACTACAATAACCATAAGCTATCTTAAACTTCTTCTGCATGTCCCTCCCTTCACCTATAGTCCCTGTCACGTCCCACTCACCTCAAGCACCGTGTCGGGCATATACTTGTCCCTTAGAAGTATTTGGCAGCTTGCCCATTGCACCAGGACTAAGTATTAACGTTCCTGGTACCCTGAGAACATTGAGAATGGCTCTTTGATCTTCTCTCTGGTCTAACACTGGCCAGAGAGAGAGGGGCCTCTCAGGTTAGGCTAAGTCAACAGTGTGTCCGGGCTGGGCAACCATGACAGGGACAGACTCTGGATTGGATGTCAAGAGACTTGCTTTGTGCATGGAACAGAGTGCAGAATCTGAGAGGGAAGGCAGGGAAAGGTGGGTGAGCGGAAGGTAATCAGCCAAAGACCCTGTGTATGCATATATGCATAACAGATGGACACAGACAATAGGGTGCTGAAGGCCTGGGGCGGGGGCAGAGGGCTGGAAGGAGCTAATGGGGGTGGGAGGGAAGGACATATGTGATACTTTCAACAATAAAGAAATAAAAAAAGAAAAGACATCTGCATTGCAGATGAGCTTTGCTTTGGACAAAGTTACCATTTAATCTGCAAAAGGAGAAGGATTGGACTAGATGGCTTCCAGCATGTCTGAGTCAGCTATGACCAAGGCAGCCAGAAGCAGAACTCAGATGTCTGGCCAGATTTGGGTGATTCCTGAAGGCCCTGCTGGTATTCTAGAATAACTGTCATTCTACTTGCTCTTGAGCCCATGGTCCTCCAAAGTGTACAAGCATCTTCTTTAAAGTGCCCTTCCCAGCTCAAGAGCCCCCCGCATCTGTGCTTCCTCAGGCCAACTGTGACCTCTCTATACCTTCTGGGCATCCAGCGCCTGCTGGTTGGCGCCCTCCGCGAGCTGCTGAGCCTGGGCCGCCTGGGCCCGCTGCTGGCTGGCGTGGAGGTGGAGCTCCTCCATCCGTGCTCGGAAGCCTCCCAGCTGCTCCGTCAAGCCCAACACCAGCCTTTCCGCTGGCCCCAGCACCTGCTGGACCTTTATGGAAAGAGAAAGACCTGGTTCGGTGGCGGGTCTCACAGGCAGTGGCCTCAATCCCTCCTTTCTCCAGTGCACCAGGCGGCTACAGCTTTCTCGAATCAGAACACCCTTACAGCCTCCTCCCAATCCCCCATCTGTCCAGTGCCTCCTGGCCTCCCCTTTCTCCAGCTCAGAGACCCCACTCCTTTCTGCACCTGACTCCAAGGCCCAAAGCCGGGTTCAAGGCTACAACCGTCCTTCTTCAGGGCCCCAGCTCAGATTCCATCCACGTCACTTTCTGGCATCTTCTGTGCCTTGTGCCTGAATCTGTTTGCTCATCCCCAAAATGAGGGAAGGAGGCCATGACAGCTCACCTCAGCGACCCTGTCCTGGATGAGCCGAAGGGAGCGGCTGGTGCCCTGCATGGTGTCCTGAGCTTCCTGCAGGGCCACGCTACCCTGGCGCAGGTTCCCCACCACGTCCTCCACCTGGCCCTCCACGGCGTGTGCCCGGCTCCTGGGGCCGACAGGGCAGAGGGGAGAGAATGCGTGGACAGGAATGAAGAGGCAAGTGGTTCTACCCACTCGATAGTCCAAGAGAATGTTCCTCCCAAGCCAAGACAAGGGAGAACTAACTCAGTAGCTTTCCCTTGCCACGCCCCCACCCAGCAGACAGGAAGAATGGGAGGTTAGTATGTCAGAGACACTCAGTGGGCACGGTTTCCCATGTGGACTGCAAGGGTCCCTTTGAGTCAAGTTCTGTTGTGTCTCACATCGCCATCCCCCACCACAGTGAGCACCCCCTCTTGCCTCCCAGCCCCCCTGTACTCCTCTGACTCGGAGAGCTTCTTCTCTCACTTCTAGCAACAGACTTGGGGAGCAGGACGCCAGCCCGATCCTGGGCAGGGAGGAGGCGTTCAGGCCCAGGGCCCTACCTGGCCTGCTCGGCCTCTGCCTGGAGCCTGCGGGCCCGAGCGATGTCCTGCTTGGTCTGGGACAGCACCAGGTCCACGTTGGGGAGCCTGGCTGCGATGGCCTGGATCTCGTTCATCTTCCGCAGGACCGTGGCCGAGTCTGTGGGCAGCCACAGGGCCAGCACCGCCTCGCTGACCTCCCGGATGGTGGCTGCGTCAGTGTCGGGGTCTAGAAGACAGCCGGTGGTCAGACTGGGAGAGCCCTGCCACCTCCCCCGAGGTCAGAGGCCTCTCTGGGCTGAGCGGCACCCATGGGGGGAGGGCACCGCTGTGGCATCTCGCCTGGTGCCCCAAGGCCTGCCGCCCCCTCTCAGGCACACTCAGCAACCCGTTCTCTGAGGGTTTCCGGAATGTGGGAAGATGAGTGTCGGCACAGCTGTGACAACTAAGTGTCTGGTGGCACAGGAAACTGCAGGCTGGGGAGAAGGAGGTGGTGCCAGACAGCTGGTCCCGCACAAAGCCGGGAGCATAAACATAATCAGCCCTAAATTGGGGAGGGCGGCCAGGAACTGGAACTGCTCCCTTGGCAATACGGCTCCTTCCGCGTGCTCCCCCTCAGACCAGAGTGCTCCTTTGGGCAAAGGCAGAGAGATGAAAACTATCAGGTCTCTGCTCAAAGGTCACCTTCTCAGAGAGGCCAGCCCTGGCCATCCAATCTCAGAGCACAACCTCCACCCTACACTGATCCTCCTTACCTTCCTTCTCTGCTTATCTTTCCCTGCCTTGTCACCACCCACATGCCAACCCATAGCTCATTTATCTGGCTTTCTGTCTCTTTTCCTACTGGGACCTGAGCTCCATAAGGGCAGGGTCTGTTTCATCCACAGCTCTATCCCCAGCCCCCAGCACAGCGCCCGGCAGGTGGGGACACTTGATGTTTGCAGAGTGAGTGAATGATTGCAAGGGCTCCAGACCCGGGCCTCCCCACTGCTAGTCGAGCAACCTGGGGCAAGGCAAATGGCCTCCCTCAGCTCAGTTTCCTGATCTGTGAAATGGGAATAACCAACCTCAACCTGAAGGTATGAAATGACATAATCAAGTAGCAAGAATTTTATAAACCATCTCTGAGTTTTGCTCAGAAGTAGAGAGCATCTCCTCCCCATCTCTCCCTTTGGATGAAAATCTCCTTTTACAGATTCCACTGCAATTGACGTGGTCGGGAAGGGAATGGGGCGCCCACCTACCCAGCTGGTTTGCCCTGAACTTGAACTCCTCTGGGGCCCTAGGACTCAATCTAAGGGATCCAGGTTAGGCTTCTTAGAGAGTAAGATAGCTGGAGAGTTTCTAGAGGATGTGTAGGCATCAGCAGGTAAGGAGAAGTGGGGCAGGGAAGACAATCCAGGGAGAGGAAAAACATTAGCAAAGGCAAGGAGGCAAGAGTGTTTGTGTGTGTGTTGTATGTTGTGCGCTCATGCTTGTGTGTGTGCTCATGCTTGTGTGTCCATGTGAACTATGAAGTCAGATGAATCCTCTGCACTCCCTCCAAGCTGGATGCCCATTGACAAGTTACTCAGCCTCTCTGTGCCTGCAGTCCTCATTGGCAGAGCGGTAGGCAGTCGGGATGGAATGATGTAACACATGGGAAGCACTTAGAACAATGCCAGGCACTTAGTAAGAACTCGATAAACCTGAACTATTGTTTTGTGTGTTCTATTTAAAGATCCAGGAAAAGCAACACCCCCTCTTCCCCAAGGTCTCCGCCCCAACACTGTGACCCTGAGTGCCAGCACCAGGACTCTAGAGACCAGACCCTGCCATGGAGACAGAACTGTCCTTGTCCCCTCCTTCTCTCTACCCTTGGCTCTGTAACAGGACTTGACCTGAGACACAAGTATCACTGAGAGGATGAAAGGGGCCCCCCAGCCTGCAACTCCCTATTGTTCGTGTGAGCCTTGCACCCTGAGGACAGCCTTGGTCTGAGTCTGAGCCCCCAAACTTTGCCCTGCCCCTCTGTCCATGTTTGTCAGGCACCATCTCGCTGCATCCCCAGGTAATTCTCTCTCCACTCTGGGGCTCCCGGGAGGGCGGCTCCAGCATGACCCCAGAGAAGCTATGGGACCTCGAGGAATCCTTTCTGCCCCTCTCTACCCGCTATCAACTCTCAGGGGTGGGGCTTCAGCCTGTTTGGAGCAAAGACAGTTCAATAGTAGCAAGAAGAACCACTCTCATCACACCAAATCCTCAGCTCCTTTTAATGAGGCTCCCAGCCAAGCAAACTCCCTGGCAAGGACCAGAAATCTAATAATATCAACTCATATTCCTGAGGCACCTTTCATTTTTCAAAACACATTTTACATCAGTGACTCGATCCCCGGAATACACTTGTGAAATACTACCATCCCAGTTTGCAGAAGCAAAAGATGAGTCAACAGGTTCTTGTGTCCTGGTTCAGGGAACTCTGCACTCCCCAGGTGGCGTGGAGGGATTCTGGTTCTTTATTCATGCAACCAGCATAGATTAGGTGTCTGGCCTTATTCTAGGTGCCAGTGACACAGAGACCAAGACAGACAGCCATCCCTGCCCTTTGGAGTTCACAGTCAAGTAAGGAGACAAACAATTCACTCCTGGACGAATGGATTCTAGAACACAGCTCAAAGGTCAGATGCCAAAAGGGAATGGGAAGGAGGGGTGACCCAGGTAGGACAGCCATGAAAGCTGTATCCCCCCTCCCCCCCGCCCCCCTGCATGGGAGATGATATTTAAGTTGAGACCTGGAGGGCAAGAATCCTCAGCCTTGGAGAGAGCTCGCCAAGCAGAGAAAGACCTAGCCAAAGTCTTGAGACAGGGAGGATCCTGGCCTGCTCAAGGTCGTCAATGAGCAAAGCAGAAAGCCACAGGGCCGCCTGCCCCGGAGGTGCAGGGGCTGGGAGTTTATTGCAAGAGCCAGGTGAAGCCAGGAGAGGATTTTAGGCATGAGCGCGATCCCACACACACATTTTTTAAAGATGTTTCTGGCTGTTTTGTGGAGGACGGACCTGAGGAGATGTTTCTGGCTGTTTTGTGGAGGACGGACATGAGGGGAAATAGAATGGGAGGTGGGGGCAGCCAGCGAGGGGTCTGACAGGGCCTGGCCCAGGTGGCCTGGAGGCAAGGGAAGGAGGCGGCTGGCTGACCTGCCAGGACAGCAGGAGTGGAAACACCAGCCCGGGGCTGGGCAAAGGCCAGGCTCACCTGAGAGGAAGTCCCGGACCTGCTGGATGAGCAACTGCGTGCGCCTGACGTCCTCCTCCATCTGGGAGCGGCTACTGCTCACCTGGGTCTCCAGGCGCTGAGCGTCTGACTGCACCTGCGCAGCGGCCTCCTCGGCCGCCCTGATCTGCAGACACATGCTACAGGTCAGCAATCTCCAGAACCCCAGGAGAGCCTCTCACAGACCCCAGGGCTCCGAGGACACCCCCCCCCCCAAGATCTGCCTGGGAAACATTTGTAACTAACTCCGTTTGGTCCCAGAGAAAAGTGATGTGGAGTCAGTTTTTTGTTTTGTGTGTGTGTGTGTGTGTGTGTGTGTGTGTGTGTTTAAAGCCCAGACAAAACTGGTTTGGCTCAGTAGATAGAGTATTGGCCTGCAGACTAAGAGGTTCCAGGTTCGATTCTGGTCAAGGGCATATACATTGGTTGCGGGCACATCCCCAGTAGGGGGTGTGCAGGAGGCAGCTGGTCAATGTTCCTCTCTCATCGATGTTTCTAGCTCTCTATCCCTCTCCCTTCCTCTCTGTAAAAAAATCAATAAAATATATATTTATATATATAAAAAAAAAAGCCCAAAACATTGGCACCAAAGTCTACTTCTCACTTGCTGTGTGGCCCGGGGACATCAGGGGACATCTCTGGTCTGTGCAAAGGAGATTACCCTCCCCAGGGAACTCTGTCCTCTCTGCCCCCTCCCTCGGGTGCCCACCTCACCTTGGTCGCACCTACCATCTGTCTGGTCTGCTGGAGCTGGGCATTGAAGCCTCGTAGCTGCTCGGCCACCTGCCCCGCTGTCCGGAAGGCCCCGCCGGCCTTGGGGAGGGTGCCTCTGCAGTGGGAGCCACAGGCGGTGCCGTTGTCTCGGGGGCAGAGCTCTCCAGGACATGCTCCTGGGGTACAGGGTGTCTGCCTGGAGCCCCCACAGAGCTGTGCAGAGAGGGGCCATCAGAGGTACCCAAGGCGCCTCAACAACCACTCCCATCCCACACAAAGAGCCAGACATCTCCATGGCAACGGGGCACCAGAAACCTGTTTCCTTGGCAACGGTTGAGCACACCGTGAGGGGCCAAGGGTCAGGATGGGTGGGGGAGTGGGGTAGATTCGCATTGCCCTAACAGGAAATGCATACAAGTAGTTGGTGTGTGACAAGCTAGGGCCGGGCCTTTGGGAAGTGGGGCTCCATGCCAGGCCTCACCTTGTTGATGGTGGGCGTCAGATCAGGCAAGGAAGCCATCCCCAGCTTCAAGGCTGCGAGCTGGGGGCCCCCAGCTCCTCCGCCTCCGCCTCCCGCCTGCTGCTCCAGCCTCTCAGCCTCTCTCCGGCTGACCCTGACTTGGAGCAGCCGGTGGGAGCTGTGGGAGACCTGCTGGCTGGCCTGGGATGACCGCTGGTAGGCCTCGGTCAGCATCCGGAAGGCTCCTGTGGGAAGAGGAGAGGGAAACTGAGTCACCCTGGGCCGGAGGTCTGGAGATGGAGGAGCAAGAGGCGAGGTGTGGTGTGGGCGTGCACGCAGCTCAGCTCCCCCTCCTCACCTGAAGGGTCGGCACCGCTGATCTTCTCGAACTGCTCCCTCTTATTCTGATACAGGACGAGGAGGTGATTGAAGTTTCTGTCCAGCGTCTCCAGGTCTCCGGGGAGGGACAAGGTCTCCTCCTCCAGGGGCAGAGCAGGCTGCAGGTCCTGCAGGGTCCGCCTGAGAGGCAAGGGGAGTGCACTGACATATCGGAAGGGCTGACTCCCTAGAAACAGCCCTCCCTTTGGAGAAACTGCTACCAAGTCAGGAAAGACAGAGAGGCCTTCAGCAAAGGCAATGGGACACGGACACCACAGGCTGAGGATTCTGCTGGGCGGAGGCTGGGAGGGCAACCTAACCTTCCTCCCTCCTCCCTCCCTCTGCAGGCAGGTCCAGAAAATCCTCTCCTTCCCTGACTCTGTGCCCCCGACATCCCCGACTCCCCTGCACCTTGACTGTGACCTCGACATTCCCAACACCTCAGCACCTTGATTGTGATCCTGACATTCCCAACTCTCCTGCACCTGCCCACAGCTGGCTCCCTTAAGGGGCACCCCAACCCTCTTACTGGGGTCCCTACGGGTTGACTTCAGCCTCCACCTGTGTAACTGAGGCACCAAGGCTCCCCTCAGTAGCCACACTTGCCCACTGAGCTCCTACAGCTGCTGCCCACTGGCTGTCTGCACCTGAAGGGGGTCACCTGCCCAGAGCTTTCAGAGGTTGGCCTCTCACCTCGCATGCTCAGGCCTGGACCGCCCATCCACGGACTGCCTGCCCGTGCCTACCAAACGCCTACGGACTCCCTGCTCAGTTGTGAGTCAGGTCAATCACACACCTGGACAGCTCTGGGCAAGTGACGTCCGTGAGGACTCTGGGAATGGAAACTAATTATAGAAGCTTCGAGAGCCAAATCTCACAAAGAAGGCGCCTCTGCTGGTAGGAGGGGTGTGGGTGGGACCGCTCCCATTCCAAAGAAAAGACAAGTTATTCTTAGATCCCCTGTCTCTCGGATGCCCTCCGCCCGCCGGGTGACTAATCCGGAGCCGAGTCCCTCTCCCAGGCAGGCCAGGCACTGGAAAGTAGCCCTGCTTGGGCTCAGGACTGAGCTCAGAGTCCCCTCCTCTCCCCTTGCCCCCCTCCCCTTGTCATCTCATCTACCTGGGCTTGTTTCCTCACCTGAAAAACTCATCACACCAACCACACGGACCGTGTGACAGTTAAAAGAGAGAGCATCTGTGGAAATGCTTTGTACACAGCAAAGGGCTCTACCCACTCATACCAGGGGCCTGGTATGAGGCCCTGTGGCCTAATTCTGCTCAGGAATTGGCAGGGAGAGGATTACCTGAGAGAGAAGATGGCATTGGCCATCTGGGCCACCTCCTGCTCGGTGGCCTGGGCGCCGCCCAGAATGGCCTGGATCTGCTCTATCTTGGCCTTTGCGTCCAGCATCCGGGAAGCCAGGCGGGGGTCCTCGGGGCCGGCCCCGGGCCGCAGGGCGGCAGTGGCATTGTGGAGGCTGCGGAGGCGCCGGGCCTGCTCCTGGAGGGTGGCATCGTAGGTCTGGAAGCAGGGGTGGCAGGCCACACACAGCGGGTAGCGGTCGCAATAGCCTCGCTGGCACTGGTCACAGCGGGGCCCGGTCAAGCCAGGGCGGCAGAGGCAGCGGCCGGAGGCCTTGTCACAGCCCGGGCCCTCCGTCCCCCGGAAGTCACAGTCACAGGCTGGGGAGGAGGAGGAAGGAGGAGGCCGGGGTTAGGGAGGCAGGGGGGTCTAGTAGGGAGAGTCTGAGCAGGAGGTCTTTCTGACTCAGGATAAGATACCAGAATAAAATCATGGTGATGCCAGCAACCAAAGCCAGCGCTGTCTTAGCATCTACTGCGTCCCAGGCACTGTTCAAAGTCACCGCGCACACGGGAACTCAGTGCCCAAACAACCTTTACAGCTGCTCCAAGACAGTTGGCCACCCTCCAGCTGTCATTTGTATAGATGAGGCAACTGAGGCACCAGGAGGTTATGTACCAAGGGCCCCTTCCCCAAAGGAGAAGACGGAGGCCTGCAGAGGGGGTGACTTGCCCCATCTCCCAGTAAGGCCGAGCGAGCGTGGCCACTTGTCAAATGGACTTTCTGGGCAAATGACTCCTTTCCCTCAGGACTTACCATCTCCATCTATGAAGAGGGATGAAATGTCGCCCCTCCTGGCCGCCCCAGTGGAGATGGCTCTAGCACCCTCCTGTCATGGGGAGCAGGGAGGACCCCATGTCCCTGGCCAGAGCTGGGAGACCACGCCGGCTGCTGGAGCAGTGGGGAGCCTGTGCTCTGCCAGGGCTCCCAGAGCCCACTCCACATGAAGCACGTGACATCCTCCTAGATCCCAGGCCACGCCCCCCCACATGGGCCCACCCACATGCTCATCCCGCCACAGCCTCCACGACCCCCTGCTCCACGGGCACAAACCTCGACATCCCCCGGCCATGTCGCCGTAAGTCTGGTCGGGACACTGGCGGATGGCTGCAGCGTTGCACATCAGGCCACCAAACCCTTCCCGACAGGGGCACTGCCCCGTGAACTGTGGAGGGGAAGAGGGCACCGTGAGGGCGCCTCCCTGGAGCCCCGCCTCGGAGAACCCCCCTCGTGTGGCCCCACACGATGGCTTCCACTCAGAGACTAGCTCTCACGTCTCAGCCCAGGATGGCCCTGCAAAAGGGGTGGCCAATGGGCAGTGCCAATGCTCCCAGCCACAGAGGGAGCTTACTGCTCAGTTGTGAGAGTTAGGTCAATCACACACCGGGAAAGCTCTGGGCCCTGAGGTCCATGAGGGTTCTGGGAGTGGAGACTAATTATAGAAGCTTCCAGAGCCAATTCTCACTGAGAGGGGGTGGCCTCCCTCCCAAAGGAGCTGGGGACAGAGCAGCCCAGCCTGACTCTGGAAAGGCCCAGAAGGGGAGTGGGAAGGGATATGGATGGGCTGGTGAACAGACCCCGCCCCCTCTCCTGTTCAGACGCCCCCACCACATACCGGGTTGCACTGGGGGCTGAGGGAGTTGTTTGGGTCACAGGCGCATGGCTCGCAGCCCCGGCCGCTGGCCAGCTTCCAGTGGTAGGGAGCGCACTGGTCACACTTGGGGCCCACCACGTGGGGCAGGCACAGACAGCGCCCACTCTCCTCTTCACAGGGCATGTCCCGCCGGGACCCCAGGATGCTGCAGTCACAGCCTGCAGGAGGGAAGGCTGCTGAGTGTGGGGGCCAGCCCACCAAAAACTCACCCCCCAGAGAACATGCACCAGGAGGGGCCCAGTCTGGAGAAGAAGCAGGCATGGCGGATCCCTCCAGATGACCTGGCCGACTCTCAAGGCCACCGGGGTTCCCCACCAGTCCCAGCACCTGCCTGCTGGGGTACCCACCCTGCCTCCCACTGGCTGACTCAGCCCCACCTTCCAAACTGGGCCTGTGCTGCCACCTGCTGGAAGGCATTGCACAGTGAGCAGGTTCAGTCATGGATCTGGTGGCTCCATGCAGCCCGCCCCGGCCACGCCAGGCTGGGCCCCTTACTCACGGTGGCAGCCCTGCGGGTTGGTGTGGGTGAGTCCAGTGAAGCCCGGCTTGCACAGGTCACAGCGCTCCCCCTGCACATGCTCCTTGCACACGCACTGCCCGGTCACTGGGTCGCAGGGAGCCCCCGGCACTGCCCCGTCCGGGTCACACTCGCAGGCTGAGAGACAAAAGCGGCCACCACAGGAGGAATAAAGAAGAGCCGAGAGGGATGGGTCTACTGTAGGAGCCAGGCTTCCTGGTGAAAATCCTTGTTCCGCCACCTACTGGCTTGCAATCTGACAACCTTAGTAGAGCTATTTAAACCCTCTGTGCCTGAGTCCTCAGAGGCTTCTTTTGAGGAATAAATGAGTCAATGTCACAGGGACAAGGTTTGGCAGGTGTTATGCACTACATACACGTCCATCATGTTATTTACTGAACAACTACTGTGCACCATGCACCGAGCCAGGCACTCTGGCATGCTGCCCTTGGTCCGTGGTCAGCAAACTGTGGCTCTTTGACCCCTTGAGTGTGGCTCTTCCACAAAATGCCACATGTGGGCGCATACATACAGTGCGATTGAAACTTCGTGGCCCATGCACAGAAGTCGGTTTTCGGCTTGGATGAGTCTATTTTGAAGAAATGGTATTAGAACACTCAAGGGGCCAAAGGAGCCGCATGTGGCTTGTGAGCCGAGGTTTGCCGACCAGGGGCATAGATCATCCTCATGATAACCATGAAAGGTGGAGATGATCATCCCTATTGTGCAGATGGAGGAAACGGCGTCTCACTGATGGTAAACAATGTACTCAGGTCACACAGCAAGAAAGTGCTAGAAAAAGAAGTCAAACTCAAGTTTTTCTCACTCTCTCCATAAATAAATAATGTCAACAGGAAGCAACCCACCACCTCCCCAAGACCTCTCACGTGCCTTCCAGAACACAGACTCGCTGCCTCTAGAACGGCTTTCCTGATTGACCCCTCCTGCCTGCGTCGGATGGCTCCCATCCAGCCTGCTCTCTCCCGTATGTTCCCCTGGACCTGTGGCCGAGTCAGATCACCCCTGGGCATGCATTCCCTTACATGCCATTCATTTCTCCACTCACTAAACATTCTTTGAGCATCCATTCTTTGCTTGTCATTATACAAGGTCCTGAGGATACACGCTATCATCCCTGCCATCGAGGGATTCTCAGTGTTTGGGGAAAATAGAAAAATATGGAGCAAACCACCTTATAGCATGTAAAGGAATCCTAACCCCATGTCTGATGCATCTGACTCAGTTGGTCTGGGAACCACGTGGCATCCGTGTGTATATTACCAAACAGTGTATGTGCTTCTGGACAGCAGGAGCTATGTCTGTTATTTACTTTTTTCTCTCCTCTGCCCAAAAGAAGGATTACCTATGATTGACTGACCAACTGGCTAGTGGTTGAGGCCCCTTGCTTAGAAGTAAGCACACAGCTAAGCTAAAACAATGGCCCCCCAATCCTGACACACAACCACGTCTTCCTGTGGGTTTGTGGGTCTCCAGGGGACAGATGGGGCGTCATGGACAGACAATACTCGGGGGGAGCCCCCAACTCACGGATGCAGGTCTCCTCGATGGGGGCGCCGGGCCGCCGGTTCCGGAAGTAATGGAGCTGGCAGCGCTCGCAGTTCCTGCCCTCGGTGTGGTCCCGGCAGTTGTCACACACCCCTCCCTGCGCCCCCTGGCTGGCGCTGAACACGGCTGGGTCGAAGTGACAGGTCTCCGAGTGGCCGTTGCAGTCACACTCTGAAAAAAGGGAGTTCCCAGGGCTGATGGGCCATCTGCAGAGCGCGGCCCCTGCTACTCGGTGGCATTCCTCACTATTCGACAACAGGCTCTGGTCTAGGATATGAGGACTCAGAGGCCCAGGAAAATTTGTGTGATTTTGTGAAGGTTCTATGGCCAATCACAAAGCAGAATAGAGTGAGAATTTGGGTCTCCTGACCCCAAGGTGGGGACTAACCCAAGCATCTGTGTTGGGCCAAAGAGAGAGGTCCATCCCAACCCTCCCCCATTGCCACTGTGGGCCTCCTGCTGAGTCACTGCCTCTTCCTGGACTGGGACCCCTCTTCCTTTCCCTCAGTGATGCAGGGAAAGGCCCTGACTCTAGGGCACCAGCGGAGACAGGAAACCAGACACATCTACACGGGAGAGGGCAAGTGAAAAGGCCAGAGAGCAAGGATCTCTCCCAGCCTGGCTGAGGAGGATGGGGAGGCACACGGAGGTTGCAACCCAAACACTCTCTCCATCCCCACAGAGCAAGGAGACCTTAAATTGCAGCAGTGCAATTAGGACTAAAATTTAAACAATGAAGAATCCGTCCTCCCTGTGTCCCAGGAAAGGTCGCCGAGGCCCAGAGGGGCCAGCACCCCACTCCGTCATACTTTGGCATTCGTGGGGGTCCTGGTCGTCCGCGGGTCTCCAGGGCTGGTTGTTGTAGAAGGGTGCGCAGCGCTCACAGTGGGAGCCGGCGGTGTGGTGCTGGCAGACACAGGCATCGTGGACCTAGGAGAGGGGCCGTCCGTCATGAGGAAGGATTATCAAAGGAATGGCCAGGGATGGGCCTGCCCTTTCCCTCTGACCTTCTCTGGATCCACCACTCAGGATCCAGCTCAGACTCCAGCTCTCCGAGGTGCCTGTGTGTGTGTGTGTGTGTGTGTGTGTGTGTGTGTCATTTATTCCATTCTCATCACTCCCTCCTGACAGCATAGACACACTGAACTCCGGAGCAGCACCCTCCACCAGCCCTATTCCCTCACCCTTTAGCTTTCACTGATGCTCACCTTTTGGCCTGGAATACCTCTCCCTCCCCCTGGGCTCCCGTGAAACCCTGCTAGCTCCAATGGCACCTCCTTCACAGGCCTCCCTGGCCCCTCCAGTCCCATGGATTTCAACCCTGGCTGTGCTCCAGAATCATAAGGGGAGTTTAAAAACAAAAAAATACCTGGCCGAAACCGGTTTGACTCAATGGATAGAGCGTCGGCCTGCGGACTGAAAGATCCCAAGTTCAATTCCGGTCAAGGGCATGTACCTTGGTTGTGGGCACATCCCCAGTAGGGGGTGTGCAAGAGGCAGCTGATTGCTGAATCTCTCTCATCAGTGTTTCTAACTCTCTATTCCTCTCTTTTCCTCTTTGTAAAAAACCAATAAAATATATTTTTTTTAAAAGAAAATACCAACAACAGGACCAATTCAGTCCTTGGACAGCCAGATTTGCCAACCGCTGAGGCTAAGCGAGCCCGCTCCCTGTGCTCCAGCCCACAGCACGCTGTCTTCCCCATGTTGGCAACCCCATGCTCTGGTCCTTTGTTAAGGAGCCTTCTGGCCTCCCTGTGGCCTCCTCTGCAGCTGGGGCAAGAGCTGGCCCGGAAGCAGAAAGAATAAAGCTGACCGATGTTCATTTTGCCTGTATTTCCCTCTCGGGCCCTGTCACATGAGTGCCTGGTGCCCCCCTGTGGACAGGGCAAATAGCAGGCTGCCTGTGTGGGTAGATGCACTGCAAAATGACAGCTCCCTCCTCCTGGCCCAGGGTTCTCCTCCACTGGTGTTCTAAGTTTGGTTTCACCACAATAGCCCCTGGGTGGCTGGATAAGTTGGAGCCTCTAACCCCATCCCTGATGCATCCGACTCGGCTGCTCTGGGGCACAGGTGGCATCCATGTGAGATGTTCTCTCTCTCACCCTGCCCATCGCTCACCACTAGATGAGACTTCAGAGTTTCCAGGCCAGAAGTGCTCAGCCCTGGGAGGGTAGTAGAACATCTCAAAGCTTTAGAAGACAAGGGCCTGGCAATATTTCCAGGAACTGATCATGTGTGGCTAGGGCTGCCTTAACCTCCCCCACGCCCACACGCATGCTCACGTGTAACTGAGAACACCAAACTGCAGGACTCAGGCTGGGCTACAAAATCCCGGTCTTTGAAATGATAATCACTTACACTTTTCTCACCATTGCTAACATAGGAAATATTCACAACGTACATGGAGTGCCCACCCTCTAAGGGCCCATAGATGTCCCCAACTGTTCTGGTCTTGCCCCTGCCCCCGTCCTTCCCGCCGTGGACCGTCACCTGCACGGCTGTGGAGGGGCCGGCAGCGGGGGCCCCGGGCTCGGGGGCGCAGCGGTCAGCGTGGCCGTGGCAGAAGCAGCTTCCACGCAGGCGCAGCTGGGACACCGCGTAGTAGGCGCTGGGGGGATAGTGGACCCTCTGCGGCACAGTGGGCAGCCTGGTGAAGTTGACTCTCAGGTTTGTGATCCCTCCCAGCTCTGAGAGGGGCAAACACAGGGAGGGAGGGGGATGAAAAAAGACAATAAGGAGAGGAAGTTAGAGGCCATTCCTGTCTCCATGGGGAAGGTGGGAAAAGAAGGAAATTCTGGTTTTACCAACCCAAAGGCTTCCCTGCCTTTATGAGGTTATCCCAAGGGTCATCCTCCCCATCCTCAACCATCTGAGGCAAAAGACAAACACACACACACACACACACACACACACACACACACTCGGGCCTTCTGAGCTCTGGGCTACCACGATAACCCTCCGGGCAAGCAGGGCAAATGTCCGATCCTGCCGTGTTGTCAGAAACAGGGAAGAACAGGGATGCTCCAGAGACCTGGGTCCCATCCCTGTTTTGTTCTCCACCCACAGTCCCTTGAGGGTCAGCCATGCTGACCTTGAATTTTTTGACTTTGAGTTGCTGGAATCCCAGAGGCTAAATCCATCACGTTAAGTTGGACCTAAGAGAGGAAAGAGGCAGGCGCTGAGGAGAAGGTAGAATGTGTCCCCAAGCTCAGAAGTCTTCCTTCCAATGTCCCACCCTCCTCATGCTACACTGAAGTCCTTCTAACCTGGAACCCAAGACCACCATGAACCTGAGGCCTGCCATCTGCCCTTGAAGACTGCACATGTGTGTGTGTGCGTGTGTGTGTGTGTGTGTGTGTGTGTGTGTGTGTGTGTGGAGGGACTCTCCTCTCCATTGAAATTATATCAGTTCCAAGAATCTCCTGATTTCCTAGGACCACAAATTACAGTAAGAGATGTACTGTACATGCACAGATTTAGGGAATACTAATTTTCCAAAACCCAGCATGAACGAGAGGATCGGGAGCCCAAGGGGTGCCTGGATGTGGTGACTGTCACCCTCTACAGCTCAATTTTAACTACACTCTTCCTTTTTAATAAGAGTCATTTATTGAGTGTGACTTTATCTCATACCCCCAAGAAGAGTTTTCACATCAACTCTCCACAAAGCAGGAAAAAGCCCTGATATTTTGATCTGGGGTCTGGAGACTGTGCTCAGGGAGGATCTGAGTGTGGTAATAACCAAGAAGCAGCTGTTACAGCAAAGGAAGGAGGTTAGAGCAGCTCAGAGGGCTTCCCGAGCCTGGGCCAGTGAAAGAACAAACAGCCTCCTGCTGGCGGTGGGGGATGCAGTGATGGAAGGAATGAGGGGATATGACCGGGAGGGAGGATTCAGAGGAGAGGTATTGAAATGTTTCTAGGAGCAGTTTCTCATTTCCAGCCCAGGGTTTAGGTTTAGGGGACTGTGGCTTAGACCTGGATTTCCTCCAAGGCAACAATGGATTAAATGGAAAAGCTAATTCTCGTGTTATACCCTATGGAGGTGAAAGCGGAGGTCAAATGTGTGTCTTGTGTCAAAATCCTCACACTGGAGCCAAGTCGGTTGTACCCTCTCCACTATGGGGATAGGCCGATGAGCCGTGGGGTAGGGGGCAGAGGGCAGAGCTGGGTCAGCAGTGAGCTCAACATGTTTCTGAAATACCCTTCCTGGGCACAAAGAGGACAAGCAATGAATATTTTGAGGATGGAGAGCTCAGAAAAGACATTGAAGAGCATTGCCCAAGGGGGCTCTCATCTCTTCTTAAGAGTCTGGGTGAAGGTGTGAGCTACGCCATGTCAGAGATCCCCTGGGCTACATGTCCAGGGTCCCTTCTACTTACCCTGCCCCCATCCAAGTGCACATTAGGCCTCTGGGGCAGAGACTGGCACCGAGGGTCCTGCCAGCTCTGAGGCTGGCCCTGGTGGATGCGGGGGAAGGCAGACCTGCAGTCGGCAGCCAGGTACTGGTACACGTGCCAGGTCTTCCCGAAGTCGGAGGAGCGCTCAATCAGCATCCCGTTGGGCATGGGCCCCTGCGGAGACACAGATGGGGTGAGGCCTGAGTGACTGGAGTGTCGCCCAGCCTAGGGGAAAGAGGCCCATCCAGCATGTGGTGCCATCAGCCCAGCCCAGGCGGGCAAGAACTCTGCGTTCCCCGTGAATCAGCTCGCATCACCCATGGTCCCCTCTCCTATCCCGTGCCGTCCCAGGAAGCCCACCTTGAAGTCCATCAGGATGTCTTGGAGCTGGAATCTCCTGTCCAGGTCCAGCTGCAGAGACACAGGGTTCACGTCTGGAAGGACAAAAAGGAGGAACGTCAGGCCAGAGACTCTCCAGTCTGGGAGAGTCTTCGCAGCCAGAAGAAGGCTCTGGACGCCCCCCGGTTCTCTGACTTCCCTCTCAGGGAGGAACGGCACCAGCCCGTTTCTACTTATACTATCTGTTCAGCATCCTGAGTGCGTTTGGCCAGACTTCCTGCCCACCGTGACATGTTGCCCCTGAGACGTTAAAGGGGTTTCAACTTGTCTATTCAACACACACCTGTTCCCAACCCCCAATTCCTCCAACAGGCCCATGGCAGGTAAGTGGGGGTAAAAAACCTGTAATTTCTGCAAGCCCTCACACCTGGAGGAAGAAGTCTGCTTGCCAACCACCGCACCCAGAGCCCTAACAAATGCCCGTGAACCCCAAAGAGCTCCCAGGCACCCTTCGGCCACCCCCCTGCGGGACCCTCCTCCAGCTCGGCTAATTCTCGTGTTGTACCCTAGAGGCAGCGGCGGCCCTTACCGTTCTGTGACTGCCACCAGTGCACGGGGCCTGAGGATGAAGCCACATTCTCCACGCGGTGGCTGTTGTAATGGTGAGGCAGCCTGGAGTCGCACTTGCAGCATTTCACCTGCCACTGTGGGGACAGGCAGACAGCAGACTCAGGGGTCGGGTCCATACAGCATTCTCCCCATGGGTTCTGAGCGCCCAGGGGACGCCCTCCATGGAAAACCTTCCATGGATACACTTGAGGGGATTAACCTCTTAAAACAAGGAGGGTGGTCATCTTTAAACATAATTCCTTTGTGTCCATCCTAAGACATAGCTAAATTAATATTAAATTAAAGATCAGATGGGAAAGAGGGGTAAGGTGGTAGAAAGTCATTGGTATATGGCCTTGCCTCCAAGAGAAACTTAAAAATGATGACAAGGGGGAGGAGGGGAGGAAAAACACTTTCATTTAGCATCTACTATGTGCTAAATGCAGGCTACAGAGTTCTATACCGCATCTCACTTAATGCTGGCAGCTGGGGGGAGTTGCATTTCTGCGGATCAAGGAGAGGGGCCAGGGAATCTGGGGTTCCAGCCCTAGCTCTGGGAACTCACTTTCTGAGCTCAGTTTTCTCCTCTGTAAAATGAGTGGAGGTTGGAAGAGTGATCAAATCATTCAACACATACTTAACGTGTTAGCATGTACTACCGGTATGTGTTGGCCTCTGGCCTCTGGTGTTATAATAATGAACAACACAAAGACCCTGCCATCAGGGATACCGCATTCTGATTACATTTAGGGGATCCCTAGTGCCTTCCAACACTGATGTCTGGGGCTTGAGACTCATTCCTAGGTTTGGCCTTCCCCCACCCCAGGAGAGAATCCTGGGGGCCCCAACCAAATGGGACTCGAGATAGCAGTCCCAAGGCCAGAGAAGCACGCAGCCCTGGGCTGGGGACAATGGCTCTTGCTCTTGAAGATGGGGGCTGAAGTGGTCAGCCAGGAAGGAAACAGCCTCATGGTGAGGTCCCATAACCACGCCTTCCCTAGCATGTGCCCTGGAGGGAGACAAGAGACAGAGTTGAGTGCCATGGGCTGCCCAGGAAGGCAGGGATCACCAAGAAAGAACATGGCCAGAGAACACTGCCCTTGCTCTTTTAGTTACTGTGTGTGAGCGCAACCCACAGAGCAAGCATCACCTTGTCCCAGCTGTCCCCTCAACACACATAAAATTGTTTTCACAGCGTATCCATGGTCCTAAACCTTATGCCCAGGGCAAAGATCCGTGTGCAGAGGACTCCAAATTACCCATCAGTAGAAGCAAGGCTGAGAGAAGAACCTCCCTGCTCTGCTGGTCCTCCTGGGTAGAAACCACTGTACCTCCATCCCTCTGCCCCTCATGCCTCCATTTCCCCCTGGGCCTCCTCCTCTGAGGCCCTCCAGCTGCTGACCCTCCACCCTGCCAGGGAAGATGATGAATTACCGAGGTCATGTCTCCTGAACTGACTAGCCCCAAAGCTCCAACCCAAAGGGACCTGGTTAATTAGTATGTCAGGCCTGTGACTTAGTTACAAACTCCTTGCCCAATGCCATCCTTCCTCTCCACAGCTGACAGCTTGGAATGGTGACTGCAGAGGTGCCAGGTGCCCTGGCTCACGGAGCCTCTGCCTCCCACCCCTTTCCAGCTCTCACCTCCCATCTGCAAGAGAATCGGCACCATCCTAGTTCTTGGAGCTGTCCTCACTGTGTCCAAAAGTGCTCTTGTAAATAATAATTTTGGACATTTAATGCGCCCATTATGGCTGGCACATGTGGCCTGCAAGATACAGGTGCCCCCGCCCCTCTATGTCCCTGTCCATTCCTTGCCCGGCCACATTCTTCTTCACAGTACATACCTCCCCTAGACATCTGTGCATTCAACATCTATTTATTTGCTTACAGTATTTGTTTGTGGTCTTCCTCCCCTGACAAGGAGTATGGTTCCCACTTTACATGTGAGCATGCTGAGGCTCAAAGAGGTTACGTGACTTTCCTATGGACTGATAGGCAGTATCAGCACCAGAACCCTTTCCTCCTGCTTCCCCCCCCCCCCTCTTCACAGCCATCTGGGAAGCGTGGTCAGAAGAAACAATGGGTCTGTCTCACCCAAAGGCTATTTCTGACCCTGAAGCTGGCCCTGGGGGAGGCCATGGCAGAGACAGCACCTTGGGAAGAAAGCCGGCTTCTCGGGTTGACCCAGCTCAGTTAGCACAGAGACTGCTGATGTGTCCGTGGCTGAGAGAGCGACGTGCCACCTCAGATGATCCATTCTGGGCAGCAGCAGCCTCCTGCCAGGTTCCTATTTTGGTCCCTGGCAGAGAGCATGCCCTTCTCCCCACTCTGTCCAGCCTCCCAGGGGCCCACGTTCCTACTCCCCGCCCTCTGCACTCAGCACAGGTCCCTCGGAGACAAGAGCCGCTGCCTTCCGGTGGCCTGGCACCAGAGCTATCTCCCCTCTCTGCTGGGAGCTGGCCCCAGCTGCTCCCTGGCCAAGAGAGCGGCAGCAGCAGGCGCTTTCTTTCCTGGGGCCACGGGAATGGGAGCTAGAACAGCTCAACCCGGGACTCTGCAAATGCCTTTGATATTCCCAAATGATGGAATAGTATGTAACTATTAAAAAACTGTGGACATAGGAGGAAAATGCTTACATTATGATGTTTTATGAAAAAAGTTGGGCATAGATTTGAATAGACATCATGATCTCAGAATATACATCATGATCTCATCAAGATCTCTAAAAAATAAAAAGATTTAATTACATATATATATATATTCAAAGAACAGAAAAATGTTTGGAAGGAAATACGCCAATATTATAAAAGTGCTGATATTCAGCCATGTTGACCCACAAAAATGACAACTGCATGGAGTTTAACCTAAAACCTCCGGGAAATGGATTGTAGGTAACTTTTCCTCCATCTTTGTAATTTTTTAATAACTTAAACCTTTCCTACTTTGGGCATTGGTTAACTTATATACTCGGGAAAACAGGCATTCTTGTCAAATAAAGCAAACTAAGAATGTCCCAGGTGTTCAGTGTGGACTTGCTACCCTGCCGTCTCCCCCAGTCCTCACGGTCTTGGGTGCCCATGCCTCCTCCATCCTCCCTCCACGTGTGCGGGCACTGGCGGAGGGATCAGATGGCTCGTACCCCTAACACTATGTGCTGCTTATCATAGTAACACGACTACAGGAGGGATTTGTCTCAATCCTTAGCGACAGGCTGAGCCAGCCAGCTTGCGACAGGTATTTTAAGTAGCTTTGCTTGCCCATCAGCTAGCAGGATGGCGGCCCGAAATAGAACTGCTCATGGCAGAAGCCCACGTGAGGACAAGCTGCTGATTTCTTCTTTCCCTTTGGGCCTCAGTGGCCCTTTCTACTCTATTCTGGTATGCCTCTATGTAGTGTATGTGTGTGTGTGTGTGTGTGTGTGTGTGTGTGTGTGTGTGTGTGTGCGCGTGTGCGTGTGCGTGTGTTTCTCATGGTGAGGCTGTTCCCCTGGTGTGTGCTACGTGTGCGTGCCTCTGTCTCTCCAGTGATAGGAGCTCACAGCTGCAGCTGCTCTCTCTGGGGCCACTTGGCTGCATTCTCCTGGCAGCGCTGCCTCGGAGACACAGAGTGAATATCAATCCGGCCTGTCAAGCCTCCAGCCAGTTTGGCTCCTGCTTGCTCTCCATCTGGCAAGGTTGAGCCTCTTTCCTTATCCTGGAGCCTTCTAGAAGCTTGGCTCAGTCTGGCCAGGAGACAAGCCCTCCCAGGGAGCTCAGGGAGGGCAAAAGAGAGAGCAAGAGTCAGCAGGAGGCAAATGCAGCGGAGAGGGGTGGGAAAAGACAGCAATGCAAGTATAATAAAGCTCTGTGTCTTTGCAGCTAATTCGGGGGAGGGGGGATGTGAGATAGAAAAACAGGCCCTGGTTAGACATGGCCCAGCTCCTTCCCAAGAGCAAGCCAGAGGCCACCTGTGTCTATATAAGGAGCTACAGTCAGGGTCGTGGCTGGCAGCCAGGGCCAAAAACAGGGGGGGGGGGGGGGACAAAAAACAAACAAAAAACAAAACAAAAAAAAACAGGACACACAAAAAATAATACAATTTTAAAAATCCAGCTCTCTGCAAGAAAAAAAACATTCCCTCCATTTCAGCTTCCTCATTGGTTAAATGCAGGGGTGGGATGAGATAATGAAGTGGCCTCCTTGCTTTAACATTCTATTAGAATTCTCCCTTACTCCATCCAGCTTGTCAGCTCAGAAGTTAGAGACTCCAAACAAGAATGCAAAAGAGCCCTAGCTGGTTTGGCTCTGTGGACAGAGCATTGGCCTGTGAACTGGAAAGTTTCGGGTTTGATTCTGATCAAGGGCACAGGCCCAGGTTGTGTGCTTGATCCCCGGTAGAAGGTGAGCAGGAGGCAGCCAATCAATGATTCTCTCTCATCATTCTGTTTCTATCTCTATCTCTCCCTCTCCCTTCCTCTATAAAATCAATAAGATATATATTTTTTAATATTTTTAAAGGAAATAATGGGAAGGAAGCAAGAGAAATATAAGCCATTGGCCAGACCCCATACTGGAGAACACTCTTCCCAGCAAAGTGAACAGGGAAAGAAAGGCCCCTAAAGGGGGCCTTTGTCAGCAAGGCCTTCATTAGACCCCAGTGAGATCCACCAGCCTCACCACTTCTATGTCAATGGATGTTGCCAGCAAAGGTCAAAAGTCAGGGCCTGCTGGGGTGCAGGTAGGAGGAGGGTCCCAATGCTATGAGGTACATTTTGATCAAAGCCTTAATTCTATACCACCCTTATCTCCATCCAAACTAAGTTCAGAAAGGTCACTTTCTTAAGCTGATTATAAAAAGGATGTCTACCACACATCCAGAAATTACACTGCACTGTGCTCTCTCCTGTGTTACCATATTTCATCCTTTTAAAACCTCTGAGGCAGATGTACTATATTAAATGGTAGGTATCCTCATTTCACAGATTAGCAGAGCAAATTTCAGAGAAGTTAAGAAATGTGTCCAAGTCCATAGAGCTAGGAAGAGAGGAAGCAGTGATTTCTGCTCCAGGCTACCTGCCTCCAAACCTTCTTGTCCTGTTCTAAGCCAAGGGATAC